AATTTTTAATAACAATACAAGGCATAGCTCTGTCCACAATTACTCAAATACTATATTAAACGATACCAGTATATATGCATTATGTACAGTCTAACCACTAATGTTAAGCAAATAATATAATAAAATTGGAGAATACATTATGACAAGATACACTTTCCTTTTTTTTGTGGATGGCGTAAGAGCTTTCTACTCTACTAACATATACCACCAACAACTAAAGATATCAATACTAAGAAATTGGGAGAATATCACACAATGGAGTATTCGTAAGGGCATATACATGTAGGAGGAATGGGAGAGGGGATGGGAAAGGGGATGGGAGAGGGGAGGGAGAGGGGAGAGGGGAGGGAGAGGGGATAGTAGAGGGGAGGGAGAGTGGTAGTAGAGGGGATGGGAGGGGGGTTGGAGGGGGGATGGGTTAGGATAAAAAAATTACCTGTTCCTCTCCTCCCTCTTTGCATCCAAGTTTGATATATGTGTTTGGACTGCTCATAACAGGACCGGGGTTTTTATTGGGCGGGGCTGGCTGGAGGTGGATGGGCGAGGGGATGGTAGAAGGGATGGGAGAGGGGTGGGAGGGGTTGGAGGGGAGATGGGTAAGGATCACACATTACCTGTTCCTCTCCTCCCTCTTTGCATCCAAGTTTGATGTATGTGTTTGAACTGCTCATAACGGGACCAGGGTTTTTATTGGGCGGGGCTGCATTGAGGTGAACCACTACCATCCTGGATGACAAAAGAAGAGGCAAAAAACAATCTAAATGAGTTTGAAAATTATCAACAACAAACTCTTCATTTGTTATATCTATTTTCATTATTTTCTAAGATTCATCTGAACACTGATTGAATAAGGTTGCTTGAATATTGTAAAATTGTATTGACTATTAAAAAATAATTAAGTAGTTTTAGGTTGGAATAACATGCTAAGTTCAATAATATACTTGATTGAGGGCCACTTACACAAAAGTGTAAAAAAAGTCCAAAAATGCATTCCTTGACATCAGGGTTTTGAGAAACCTCAACTTGCATGGCTCAATTTGATGTGAAATGGAATATAATAATTAAAGCTACATGCAAATGAGTTTAATACGATACAACACTCAGTCCTGTTAGCATGGTATGACCAATCAGCCCAGCCTTGAGCACTTTATCGTTAACATAAAAATACTTACCCTTTTCCCTTAGGATCTGGAAACTTCTCAACATATATGACCAGTGACAGATGAAAAGCTAGCACTCCCTGTTTTCACAAACACAAATGATAACAGTTTTATTTAAAATGTAATGATTGCCCATTTTCTCTACATTTAGTCTGCTATTCATGGTTCCGATAGATCTGTAGTTGCAAGCCCAAGGGGGGGGGGGGGGGGGGGGTGGGGGTGATTGAATGATTGACTAGCATTAAAAAAACTAAATATGAAAATTGGCAACCCATGAAGATAAATATGCAATACAAAAAACTCTACATGCAAGATATAATCTGCCCTTACATTCCAACGTGTGCTCTCGAACCATGAAAGCGCAATCTTTTCCTGGTTCCTTAATCCAATACATGATACTATCATGGAATTTGGGCTATATAAAAAAAAACTATTTATTTGATGATGATGATGAGGATGATGAAGATGGTGAGGATGATGAAGATGGTGAGGATGATGAAGATGGTGAGGATGATGATTTTGTTACTATTATTATTATGATTACATATTATCATTGCCATTAATATTACAAATATCATCATTATCAAAATAATTATTATTATATTCCACATACTAAGAATCTTGCTCTACGATTGGTCATAAGTAAATCACATGATCAAAGATAGTTCGCCCATCATTGATGGGAGAAGCAAAAAGTTCGTTGCCCTTTGTAGATAGTACTTCTATCTACAAAGGGCAACGCACTTTTAATGAAGATAGAGGTACTATCTACAAAGGGCAACGCACTTTCACTGAATATTATCCAAAAGCCCACTAAAATAGGCGTAATTAAGCGCGCACTACCAATGAGCGCAATTAAAGCAAACACATGCGCGCACCGTACCCTCAAGGGGTTGGGTTAAACTTTTAACCTTTTTGGTGTGAATTTTATTTGGGCCTGGTGTCTTTCATGTAGATGCATACACGTCCTTTTCTTGTTGTAGTTATATTGTTTTTAGATGTGGAATATAAAGCAAATAATCACCTTTTGGTTTGAGGCGATGGCAAACTATCACTTCCTCGTCGATCAGAATGTATACGCTATCTTTCCTCAGCTTCGCTTCGGAAAGATAGCTACATCCAGATCGCCTCGGAAGTGATAGTTTGTCCCATCACCTTCACCAACGGTAATTATTTGCTTACTATTATCATTATATTATTATCATCATCATTATCGTATCATCATTATCATTAATATCATTTAATCATTATTATGTATGAAAATTGCTAAATCATCAACCTAATCATGTGAATTTGTGGTTTACCGGTATACATAAGAGACCTCTGTTCACATTCAAGGAAAATTTAAATTTACTAGACCTATAATCAAAATGAAAATGGCCCTGAGTCGGGTTTGAAGATAGGAATCAAGAATTCTTCAAAATGTCATGAGTCAAATTGTCCTATCAATGGAATACCTGGGGCCCGTTCTACAAACCGTCATAAGTCTAACTTCTTGACTAAATCAGCATTAGTGAGCAACTTGTCCGCTACGTGTTTCACCAAGCCCTCTTTGCCAAGATCAGCGACAATATCTTGACTAAGAAGTTATGACGCCTCTGACACCGTCGTATCTCTGTCATAACTATTTAGTCGATGGGCAGCGCCATCACATGTCATTTATTGGGTAGACTATGGCTGGCAAAAAGGACAATAAATCCTCTAACTATGATTTTTCAACACATTCACTTAAACAGTGAGTTATCGTTTTTTGTATTTGATAATCTTATGAAAATATGCCATGTTTGTATTTAAGGATTTTCCCACTTAAATAAACTGATTATACACCTTTATTTCCTCATTGTAAAATCGTCGAAGGGATAGCTATTTTGCCACGGCAGGCAAGCCATAGTTTGAAGTGTATTCTTTAGTTTTCAGACCCCAGGGCTTAAATTAATCCAAGGCCACCAAGGCCATGGCCTTGGATGCCCCTTTGATTGGCCTCAATGCCCCTCTCATTGGCCTTGGAGATTTTTTGTGCCCTTTCCAATTCTTCCTATTTGTGCTGTAATATAGGAATGTGCCCTTCAGAAAAGTGGCCTTTCCCTAAAAATGTTGAAATTTAAGGCCTGAGACCCATATTGCTTTCGAGATAAATTCTATCTTCAAATGTGTAAAATGAACAGTTTAAAACATGTGTTTTAAACTTTGGAATGTTGAAGTTTTGTCATTTGAAAATTTTACCGACGCCTAAAACATTGGACAAACTTTCAAAGCATTGTATTTTTACTAAGAATAATTTAAGGGTGTATTTTTATAAACTATCAAATGAAAATATCCGGGGGTACCCATCTCAAGAACAAAACTGATTCACCTGTCATGTAATGAAATACTCACAATTATATATTTAAAGTACTTCTATTATATAATCTACACAAATTTGGAAGTATATTGCATTTCTTATTTCTTGGTATCATTTTCAATCTTTTTTATTACTAATTCATTTAAACAATTGCATTTTCCCTAATATTAATTTTGTAATAATCCGGTGGTATTGCGACAAAGGCTAAGTCTTGGCTCCTATTCTCGCCGATAGTATCGATCTCACAAGATATTAGCTAGTAAGCTCTTCATGAAACGGTTTATGAAGATCACAGACATCTCCGTAGTTGGCGGATAAAGTTATGACTGTCTTGTCGTTGGTTTCTAGGAACGAGCCCTTGAACTTTACATCATCCTGATGGATAAACTGATACTCACCCTTCCCTGCATGTCTTTCCACATCAACCTGTGAGTTGTCAACACAGCTATCCCATGGTCAAACTGGGTCTGAAAATAAATGGTTTGCAGTGAGCATGGTTAGATGCAAAAAGGGTATCAAGACGATCATCTCCCGATGAGTTAGAAATTAAACAAAACCAACAAAACATAAACTAGTAAAAGCCTCCTCCTCCCGTCCTCCTCCTCCTCCTCTTCTTCTTCTTCTCGCAGGCACATTAAACACTGCGTTTAAACCCTATTCTTCGCGAGAAGTGTAGCGTATTATTGTGCATAGGGTGTGAATCTTGGAATCGGCTGGAAATTACCAGAATTGATTCGGTCTAGATCTAGACTACCTTTCTTTTGGAAATGACTTTTTGTCTTTGAGTTTGATTTGACTTCCTTAAATTATTTTGACGAGTTTTTTTGGGCAACCTTACTCTCTAGGATAAGGAATAATATATGATCAAACATTCGAGAAATATGATAGGAAATTATTGGTAATTTTAAGTGAAATATTAGCTGTGGCCTGTGCTTTCCTCACTCCTCAGTCTCAGTCTCAGACATCAGCTTAGTTCCAAAGACAAGCAGGACCCTTCTCCCTTTTCAAAGAGTGGGACTAAGGCAGGTTACATTTTAAGTAGATCTAATATCTATTAGGGCCTATAACGTATTTAGAGTAAAATGAATACCTTTTGATTCCCATCGTACAAACGAACACCGTGTTGTTGTTTTACAAGAGCCTCTCGAGGCATTAAAGCATCATTTGTCCACTCGAATCGGTCCATTTGTACAATTTTGCAGAGTTTCAGCAAAAGTCTACAGACTGAAGATGGAGAACAATAATAGTGCTATAGGCCTACTTGCAATGCGCAAACCTTTGGAGTAATTAAGCATTGCCAATTTAAATAATTTGTGGTGTTGCCAACGAAAATGACGTTGGCAACAAAAGTGAGCGTCTTAATCCACGGAAAAAATGTAGTAATTTAATATTTGAAACATTTATAATTCTTTCATTACAGTGGTTTGACTTATTTCAAAAATGTTATCATTCTGTTTGTAGTAATAGTATGTATATCTAGCTAGCGATTAGCCTACTCACATTCGGCAACAGGCGGGTTGATTTAAAAATAAAAGTGCCTGCTAGCAGCTCCACTTGCGTTCATTTTAGGCTTTTTCTACTCGAAGTTGTTATCGAATGCAGACAAAATGGGAGACAATCCTGCTGGAAGTGACGACGATCTGAATACACTCTTTGACCGGGTTTCCAATAAACTCGGTTGGAAGTGTGACGCAAATTTTGACGAGTTGTTTGAGCAGGTAGGTACCGCCTCCCCGGGATACTCGGGAGGCCGGGAGCGCAGGGCAGGGTAACGTGCCAGGAGGCCGCGGGCTGGGGAGCTGGGAGCTCAGCTCCGTTTACCCAGTGAGCTGTGCTGTGCACTGTGCTAGGACACTCGGTCTGATCTAAAATGGTGGTGGAGATGGTGGTGGAGATGATGATGATGATGATGATGATGATGATGATGATGATGATGATGATGATGATGATCTACACAAACCTTTAAACTAGGTCTATGCCTCCAAAAGAACCATGCATCAATTTAAAAATAACATTGCACGGAAGCGACACCACCTCTAGACGTTGATGCTTCTAAGCTAAGCGTTGTCTGGATACCATGCTGAGATGATGATGATGGAAGATGAAGAAGAAGAAGAAGAGCGCCCCTACTGATGATGATGATGATGATGGTGTTGATAATTAATGATATTGAAAATATTATTGATAAATCATAAAAATCTAGATCTGAAAATAGAAGTAGGGCGACCTAGGGCCTAAATAATAGGGGCCATTATTTCTCAATCAAGGCATGTATGTAGTCTTGATCTAAGAAATAACAACTCCAGATATGTTCAAAACTGCACTCATTAGAGTGGTAAATACTTGTGAAATTCTTATAAATATTGACAGATGTTGTTCATTGCATAAAATGTTGAATATATCGATTTATATATTTGACTTGGAGTAGCAGTTGAGAAGTTGCTGTTCATAGATTAAAATCTGTTCACTGTAGAAGCTTTTTGAATTTATGGACAATGTAAACCAGCAGGAAAAGTCATCTTCTCACTTCATTTTAAAAGGAGAGGGCATCATACTAGCCTGTATTGTTAGGCTGTACTTGAGAAGTGAAGATAACAAGTGAAAATGATTTTGAGACTACTAAACAAACATCCTGGACCCCGATATCCAAACACATTATAATACATGTAATCAATTTCTTTTCCATTTGAATTACAGCTTTCCCAAAGCACAAAGAAAAAGAAGAGCAAAAGAGTGGCTGCTTCAGCTAAGAAAAAGAAGAAGAGCCAAACGAACACCAAAAAGAAAACCAGAGACCCTTCAAATAAACAGAGCAAGCCTTCTGGGGCACCACCATTCTCAAGCGGGTTAAGTGATCCAAGTCAGGATTCTTCATCCTGTATAGCTGGTATCTCCAGAAATTTGAAGTTGGAGTTCCAGGCAGAAAAAGCTTGCAGTGCCGACATTTCAGTTGCCCACGAAGAGGAAGGCAAAACTGTTGAAGTCTTGAGAGAAACAGCTCCTGTTGTTTCTGCAGAAATTGATTCAGCTGCTTCACCTAGCTTGCATGATGATGCTTGGAGGACTGGGTTCGAATGGGAGGAACATCCTTTACATGGTAAGCCTGAACATGCAGATGAGCCCTCTAGAGGGTCGGAAGGGGATAGGCAAGAGAAAACGAGACATTCCAGCGAGGACAAGGCATTTGAAAATAAGGAAAATGAAGCTCCATCCAGAAATGAAAGGACATCCAGCAGTGATGAAGATGTGGTATCCAGTAACAGAAAACTTAGCGAAAGCTCTTACAAGGGTTTCTGTACTTCTACAGGGGCAGCAAAGAAAGATTCTGAAGATGATGTTTCAAACATTTTCACTGAAGACTTTACAGAGTCACCTCAACCCATGAAGTGGCTCATGTCCCCTCCTCCAAAGCCCAGCTCATCAGCGCCATCTCCATCGCGAACTTTGAACTCTGACAGCAATGATGATGAATCCAACATTGACTCTAATGATAACGATGACGATTTTGGGGATATCTTTGGTGCTAACATTCCAAGTTTAACTGAAAGGTTGGCACAAAATCATCTCGAGAACAAGAGGAAGGAAACAGCAAGCAGGAAGAACAGAAGGAGAAGTTGTGCTAACCCAAGAGCCGCTCCACTTGTATTGGACAATGAATGGATGGATGAAGAAAAAGAAGAAGTAAGTGGGCAGGAGGATAAGGTTGATGGAATCCTTAAAGGGGAGGCAAGGTTGGAGGCTGAAGACGACGGAGAAGAGGAAAGAAAAGCAAGTGACAGGGATGATCAAGTGTTACAGAAGAAAGACAGAGAGACCCTCAACACCAATGCAGAATCTTTTCGGAAAGCAAGGTATGATGTTGTCTCAATTTCCCTTTCCATAGCAAATTCTTAGGAAATGAATCCTTTTAAAGTGCTCACAATATTTAGTAGTAGATTAGGTCTTCTTTCATAAAAGATGTGATTTCATGCCTTCCAGTACAGCGGTACCTTTAATAAAGAAATTAATGTACATGTAATACAACTTGTCTTTCAGCAAATTAGTTTGTGATTCTTAATTTTTTTGTTGATTTTTTTGGAGTTGCATTCAGAGACCCCTAATCAGTTACAGGGGGTTACAATGATTCAGTTCACTTTTCGCCTTCCAGGCATGGGTGATGCCAAAAACTTAATAATAATAATGATAATAATTTTTTTAAATAATATGTATATTTTTTGTCAAATTCGAGATGGCTTAGGTATCCCGTCTACCAATTCCTATCAATCATATACCCTCTTCTTCATAAAGATTTTTTTAAATAAATTGTCTCAAATAATTTGTTGTGGGCGTCATTGTTCATACTCAGTTGACTTGTAAAATATATATGTTGTATAATATATATATTTTTCATTAATTTCATTTGCCAGGACCAGACGTCAAGACTCTAGTAGTGATGATGACTTTGAATCATGTGAGTAAAAAAAAAGGAGAATCTTAATCCTGTAAATATGTGATATTTTTTCTTCAAAAGCAGCATGATTATGAAACCCCCACCAATTCACAATCATATTGCAGGAGAGGAGGGGGTGTGGAAAAGATTATTTACCATTTACCAATATACTTATATTTAATTGCTCATTTTCCTTGTCACATGCATGTAGGTACACTGAAGTTGAATTTCTTGCAGTAATTTCTTTGCCTGGAACATTTTGTGCTAGTCAGTCAAGAGTTGAGTTACAAAATATGTACCAGTATGTTATTTATGGTATTATTTTCATTACTTTCCCTTTGATTTCTAAGTTTAGGATATATGACAGAAATTCCAGCATAAATATGGGCAAGTTTTTAATAATAATAATAATAATATCATTCTTGTATAGCACATAACACATTACATAAGAATGTCTTATGCGCTTATACTTCTACGACAATACTCAGCAGGATCCATAAGTCAATATACCATAAGAAGATGAAACTAATGAATTGAATCATAGTTACCAGGATATTGGGATCTTTCATGCAAATACTCATGCATATCTTGTAACATCAGTAGACAGTGAATTGCCTTTGGTGCTATCTTATCTGACATCCTTTCTGTACAAGTCTAAACTTTAAAATCTGCTCCACCTTTGATCTTCAACCATGGCTAGTCCTGAAAGCTGTCAAGACACCCCAACATCTAAAGCAGCAGGGCGGACAATCGGACTCGGAGGAGGGCGTCTATGTGGTTGATGATGATGACGATGACTTCATCAATGACACGCCCCTCGATAGCAAGAGTGATGACGACAACGACAACGATGTCTTCTATCATAAGGTCATCAATCTGGATAATCCACTTACGAGTGGAAAGAAAACAACTAAGAAGGTACACAGATGTTATGGTGGTATTAAACAAAATAATATATTTCACATATAAAGAAGAAATGTCTGAAAGTATTGAAGAGACACAGACGGATGAACTTCCAGCTGGGTCAGTATTTTTGAATAATTAAAGTCTTATGGTCATGTTAATATCCAGCACTTGTAGATATTACTTGTATATGAATTTATACAAAATAACTACAACAAAGTTCATACAACGGTCCCTTCTTTTTTGTAAGGAATTCCTTAATCCTTTCTCGACAAATTCAAGATGTAGTCTGTTATACATTACTAGTTACATTAAAGATAATAGTTAACCTGATACAGATTATTGTAGTTAACTGTTTAGCTTCATGAGCTATAAAGTATAATTAATATCACATAAAGTATCCAATATCAAAGTGAATTGTACTTTTAAGTTTAAAATTATTTAATTAATGTCAGACAGAAACTTACAGTAGATTTAAATTGCAGAGATGTCATAGATTTAAATCTCTTCTTTAAAGCCCCACTGCACTATTGATAGCTACTTGCGCCCTCTATACAGCCAACAATCCCTAAGCGGTACCCGTTGATCCCCATGATTCCCTTTTTTTTATGTTAATTGAGAGCTGATTTGATGAGATAACCACCTGCCAGTGACCTTGCAGGGAGGTCTAATCCCTCCATGCCAAACTTGTGCAGAGGGCTTTAAAAAGTATTTAACTATACAAGCGCTTTGAAATACACGCAATAAAGGTACTCCCATATTTATCATTCCTAATGGTTAGCATCCAACTGTGGGCAGTCGTTCTGGAAGCATCCTCAGCCAGCTTCTATCCTCCTCAGATGATGATGAAGACGTCTTTGTGATACCAAGTCACACGCCCTCTCTCAGAAAACCAAGTTCAAAAGGTGTGAAATATCATGGTATTCGGAACAAAGATTTCTTTGTGGTGTTTTTAAAGGTATAGACCAGTTCTGGTCATCCGATTGCATTGTGAAAGAAATGTTGTGGAATTAATCAGAAAAAGTTGATCATCTAGCTTATAAGTATTGGTGTGTACTGCAAGATTCTGGAATCATCAAAATTGATAAGAAATTTGGCCCAGTCTTGGTAAAGTTACAAGCACTGTACACAGAAAGATGTATATGAGACTACACAATATCTATCCAGTCCGGATAGATATAATGATTAACCAAATATATCAATTAGTAGGCAGTTTCCTGGCAAAATTTGTATCATCACGTATTAGTCAAAACATATTCTTTCACATGATTGGTTGAATCTAACCCAACCCAGGCGGATGACTGAAGCTTGCATTGTGCGTTAGCGTGACCCTTCCCTGTTACATAGATGCATGCTAGTTACAATGGAAAACACCCTCGGATAGGACATTAAATTTAAGGCCCCATGTAGAGGACAGTCGCCACCTTAAAGTTATGAACCCATTGTATTATTTGTATGAGAGTAGGGGGAAACTCTGGTGTATCTGCACAACCTTTGTTATACTGGGAGGAGAGACCCGAGACACACAGTGATTCAGTTCTCTTCCCAGGCACAGGTAATGCCAAATACTTAATAAAAATGGTAATAATAGGTCTAAGGCCTGTAAGGGTTAATTCACATATAATTTTTAAATATATAATATACTTCACAGTTGTGTATCTTAAAACACAAAGAGAGTGTGTATCTGTAGAATCTATCTTGTGTGCAGCTACTTTTGTTGTTTGTCTCCTCTTGCCATTTATTTACCTTTTAATTAAAAAAAATAACAAAGAAAGAGTTGCGGTTTACCGTGCCCCCACATTTGAACAAGCCTTTACCTGCTAGATTTGACTACATGTAATTTGTCTTTTACATGTTTTATTTACACCTGTATATGATGAAAGTACCTGTACGGATCTTGATATTCTCTCTCTCTTTCTGCACGGTGTTCATCAGCATCAACTTCAACCACCTCATCAAAGAAAACCCCAGCCAAGCAGCGACGCCCGCTCCACCCTACCACTCTGCCCACCAACCGATGCTTCAGCACCCCCTCCCGCACCGAGCGACCCGCCCCGGTGTCGTTCCTTGCCTCTCTCTCCACCCCGGGGAAGGGAATGTCCACCAGGTCGAGGTACGTGAGCGACTTCAAGAGGAACAAGGACGAGCTCACTCAGAAACTCTTCAAGCTGTACAATGAAAGTGTCTTCGAGAACAAGGTAACATATTATGATGAAACAACTGCATATATTTACAATGTATAGTTTTGTCCCCAGATGTTTATTTCTAGAAATAAAGTTCTTAAAATGTGACCTTTCTTTCACTTCATCTACATAACACATGTCTTTCTGTACATTGTTTAGATTGTTGAGAAAGGTTATAACTTCTTTCTATTATTTATTTATCCTTACTTTACAAAACTAAAATAGTTGAAGAATTTGACCAGTACAAGTAATTTGTATCCTTGTTTAAATTTTACTGCATATTGAATAGCTTATTGGAACAGCATAAATATACCTGCATCATTTAAAGACCTATGTAGCTTCAGGACCCCCAGCCATAAATATTCCTCTTTATATACAAATGATTACACATGTATTTTACCGCTCCATTTTTTCACAGCTACCATCTGATTTCAGCGTCACATGGAACAACAGGATGAGGAAGACCGCTGGATTCTGCTTCTACAAGAAGAGGCTTAGTGAGAGGACAGCTAGGATTGAGCTCTCGGTCAAAGTGTGTGACACGGCTGGTATGTAAACCTGTTATATCCCAGTCATACGGCCACACCCCAACTCCAAAATGACATAAAATTTACAACAAAATAATGGCTGCCGGTATTTGGGATGATATAATTTTCTGTTTGGTCTATTAACAGTGTGGTGTTGGTCTTGTAGGCCTGACTTAGGTATTACATTTTTTTAATCTTGGTGTGGTACAGTGAAATTGCAAGTTGCAATTTACTCATATCTATAGTATACAAATATACACTGTCTTGAGAGGTTCTGGTTAATCTATGGGCAAAAGGTGACTATTGGAGTCACATAGGCCCATAGTTATAACCAGTACCTCGAAAAGAAGACAGGGTATATTTGTTTTATATCCTGAATCAACAATTTTTTTAAATTAAAAAAACAAAATTATTAAAACAAGAGATCACCTCCGACAATAGTTTTAACTGTGTCTCTCAGAGCAGTCAATATTTGTATTTACATCTTTCATGTTTTGGAGGGGGTGGGTAGAAATCCATCACACCAGAAAGGACTGATTTTTTTTAGGCATTATTTTATTTTGGGTTGAGAACAAGTGAAAGACATGCCAATTTTTGTGCTATGCCAAAGTGGTATACTGGCAATTGCAGTCAAACCTGCTTTAGCAACCACATGTCAAAAAAGCCACATTTTTAATTTCCCTTGAAGAAGGTTTCTCATTGAAGCCTGTAATAAAGGAACCTGTACATAAAGACCACCTGCCTATAAAGACAGCTTTTCATGTTTCCCTTGAGCCTTCTTTATACACAAGTTTCACTGTACTTTGATTTTCACCTTTTTTTGTCAAGTATTCTCAGTGAGAAGTTGTTTTTTTTATCTAGGAATTTCTGCTGTACTTTTCATGTATCATTATATTTTGCGGTTAGAACGTTTCTGAAACACCCATGTTCCATATACTTCAAATTTCTTTGATGAACTTTCAATGTTTTTCTTGTTATTTTTGTAATTGGTGGAAACAATGGTAACCTTGTATGTATATTTATTTTGATGTATCATTTTGTTTTGGATCTATATAGAACGTCTGAGAGACACATTGGTTCATGAGCTTTGCCATGCTGCTGCCTGGCTGATTCATGGTGTTAGTGATGGTCATGGAAAGTACTGGAAATACTGGTAAGCTCTCCATTAATATCGTTTTTGTTATAACGTTTCTGATGTACCCTCAAAATTGAAATTAAGTTAGCATTTAATCATTTCATCTTTGGCATCCCAGATGGAATTTATTCCTCTTTTAATTTCATTATTTTGTATGCAAAATGTTATGTATTTTCAACTAGGTGTTTGAAGGGAAATTCAAATATCATTATGAAATTGAACAAATGATCTATACGCAACAAGATTCATTATATTAATTTTCTCTTCCCTACAATGTTTCTCTATCAGATGCATTCTCTTGATACTATTCTCTTTTGACCTAATCTACATTTCTCAGCTCCACTCTCCCTTTTCTTCCTTTCATCTCCTCTCCAACTTTCCCTCTTTATTTCTATCCCTATTTGCCATTGTATTTCTCTCTCCCCTTTCCCTTATCTCTCTTTTCTCTCTTTCTCTCTCCACATTCACTCTTTTACCTCTGACCTCCATCAATTATTTTGCAAAAAACAACCAATTTGTTTTCAGAGCATAACAAATGCTCACTCTGTATATCTATATCTATATATGTTTCCATTTATAGTATCTTGTGCTATATCTCATTGTAGCATTTATGAGGTCATGTTCATATATTCCTCTATTTTAAAACTTGTTTTCATCTTCTTACTTTGCAGGGCTGCCAAGTCCAATCTTGCCCACCCCGAGATCCCAGTCATCAAGCGATGTCACACCTATGAGATCACCACTAAGTTCAAGTACAAGTGTGTCCAGTGTGGGAACATGTAAGTGTCACACCAATATGTTGACCAATCAGTAGTGCTACATGTTTCAAGTTACAAGTTTATTTATTTTACTTTATCAAAGATAGCATAATTGAACATAATGAACAATGGTAATTATTATAACTAAACATACAATATAGAAAACATAATGTACATGATAACAGAGAATACAATCATATAAATCAATCAATAAAGTGGGGGATCTACTAAAAAGCAAGCTTGTATTATGTAGGTCCCGGTTCATAGGTTTATATATAAATTAAGGTATCTGAATTAACATATTTACAAAAGCATATGATTACACGAGGGTTATCTTTAAGTGACACATTTTACTAAACATATCATAAACAATTGAAAAAAAGGGAAGAGTTCTGTGTTTGGTTTAGTGATCAAATGGATACAACTATACATGATTTGGGGACTTTCCCCATTCATTAAAGGAAGATCACTGAATCACAGATTTGTGAGGCAGATCGAGGCTGCAGGTCAACGAGACCAAACAATTTTGATATCATCAAACCTTTCACAATGTGTAAAAATGTTCATGATGTTGGAGGTCCACACGGCTAACAAATTTGGAATATTATGAGGTCATGGGCACATCACCTTAGCCATGCACTCCAAAGGGCCACAAAAGCCAACACATATTGCCCAAAAGCATGCTGCAGTGACATATAAAGGTTTGGTCACTTTTAGAAAGACCATTTTGCAGGGAGATATTACTCTTGCCAGCCCAACACGTCCAACACCATGGCGCGTTTCATAAAACTTGATCACAGCATTTGATTGGCTGAGAGCAAATTTGTCATAGATATTTAGCATTTATAATTGAACACAAGATTTATGAAATAGGGCCCAGACCAACAACAAACCAAACGGAAGAAGATATGTTCCAATTTGCCAAAATATAGTCAGTTTGGAGTTGGTTTGGTGTTGGACCGAGGTAGTAACAAGTAAAAACTGCTGTGTGACCACTGGGAAATCAAGGCCTGAGACTCCTTGCAAGATCCATGGTTCAATAAATATAATAATAATCTGGATTTATATAGCGATTAATACAAAATAGTGTCACTAAGTGTTTTCACAGATATTGATACCTGGTCATCGGAACCATTTCAGCCACAATGTGCACCATCTCCACTCCCTGATGAGTATTCCTATCGTATCATATGGCAATTACCAACACAAAGGCTTTTGTCATCCTACCAGCGGAGTGTTTCACAAAGAAAAAGACTCTGCCTGAGAGGGGAAAAGTGAACTGAATCCCTGTGACTTAACTATGGCAGGCCATTCATGCCGCTGGTTGCTGTCACCATTGGTCTCTCAATTATGATGTTTAGATAATATTTTTTCCTTCAATAATGAACTATCAAAAAATGTAAATTCTGTAGATTTGTGACCATGATTTGTACGTCACTTGCGTAACCAATGCCAGGAATGGTTAGAGGAGTTTGTGGCATGAACGGCCTGCCATAGTTAAATTTGAACTTAATGTCGATCTTAGTCTTTGTGAACCACTCCCCAGGTCCTTATTTCTCTCGGGGATTGAACCCACAACCTTTGTATTTCAAGTCAAATGCTTAAAACCACTCGACTTCGACACCTCTTGTACCAACTTATGCGACTATAGGGAGATAACCCAGTATCCTCACACTCATCTCTCAACTCTCTTTCAGTATTGGTCGGCACTCCAAGTCCGTGGACACCAAGAGGTTCTGCTGTGCCTACTGCAACGGGCGCCTGGAACTCCAGCCCACCCTGAGGAAGGACGGCACACCAGCCAGGGCGCGGGGACCCAACCCCTTCGCCGCCTTCGTCAAGGAGAACTACGCCTCGGTGAAGAAGACCCATGGGGCCGCCAAACACGCTGAAGTGATGAGACTCCTCAGCCAGGAGTTTGGTTCTAAAACCAAGATCACAGATGCATGAAGATATTGCTACAAGTCTTGTTGAAAGACATAAATAAGAAGCATAGAGGTCATACAGGGGACTTTCTCCATTGGCTCTATGTATTTCACTTGTTCTGTAGCATTGGAATATCAGTATGGAAGCATAAAGTGCATCACTTTTTCAGTTGGCCAAGAAGAAAAGATTATGATGTTTTGAAAGAAAAGGTAAAAGAAGTGGAGTTATATTCCAATCCAATTGCACAAAGCTCTTGAAAAAAAAAGCATAATTTTTCATACTTTTAACAGATATATTCATTATTTTCAAGTAAAAGTATGTTTTGATATTCATAAATCATTGTTTGAAAGAAATTATTCACCAAACTACTCTCTGAGCAAAACTGGCTGTTGCGAAGAAGGCTGAAAAAAAGGTATTCTTATTTTAACAGAAGAGATATATTATTTGGAAGAAAAAAAAGTGAATAGAGAGATAAAGATATTCTTCAAAGAGAAAATTCCATTTTGAAACTAATTTACATATATCACAATATGTGAGCCAAGTTCATGTGTCATTAAACAATGGAAATGGGTAAACTAGTTGTTCAAAGTTTTGGTGAGAGAGAATTAAGTTTTTACTCTTAAATTATGTAATTCATTTTTAGCATGTTAGCATATTAAGATGATTTCTGACTTGATTTTATCAAAATGCTTTACTTCAAATTCATGCAAAGAATAATTTCCATTATCAACATTTTACCATTGTGTCAATTATGTGTAGTACAGTGCATTCATTTTGCCATTATTGTGCCAATTATGTCTAGAACCTTGCAATTTGTTGTATATATTTTTGTTGTTGTTGCTAATCCAAATCTTTGCAGTATTATGTGAACAGGGAAATAAAAATGTGGGTTTGGTAGCATGCATTAACAAGTCCATGCATAATTATATGGTGAAGAAGATTTGGTACATTTTTCCATTGACCTTTGTATGTACATGCATTTGTACTATAAAATTTAGGAATGTATGCTACAATGAACATTTCCCTTTCAATATCAGAGCTTTTAAGAAAAATTAGGATGTGTCCTGTACACTTTTTAACAAGATGTAATTATCATCCTAAAACCCAATTGCAATCCTTAACCCAAAAAAAGGATCATACTTATGACTCGTGTAAGTCAGTGCTTGTCGTAGAGTAATAAATAAAAAATGATTGTTATGGTAATCATCATGTTTGTGATTTGCATTGTTTAGAATTATGATAAATGATCTAGTAATTACCCGACAAGGATAGGCGTCATAAAGAATAGTATCTAAGACTTTGTCAATGATTTGCAAAAAGCAGAAAGCTGTATTTTAGCTGTAATCAGTGAAACCTTATGCAACATGGCTGATTATCTTAAAAAGGTATTTTTGTCAGGTTTTTATTTGCACATGTATATCATGAAAAGAAATTTTGTTTTTGACAGTATTTGTAATCTACAATAATGATTGTCATCATATGTGATGGCTACAATACCTGCTCAGGTATCAGGTGCTCAACTTTAACTCTGGTCCAAACACTGAACCTAATGCTAACCCTAAATATAAACCTAACCTAAAACCCAATTGCAACCCTTACCCTAACCTAATATCCAATTGCAACCCTTACCCTAAACATAAGCTACACTAAAACCCAATTGCAACCCTAACCTTAAATGTAACCTAACCTAAAGCCTAATTGTAACCCTAACCTTAAACCTAACCCTATACCCAATTGCAGCCCTGATCGTGACCCTAGCCGTAATTCTCTAATGAATAAAGCTCGAAGCAATTGTTGCTGGAGCCTTACTTGGTATTCTGGTTTGAATTAATAATTGGGGCAAACAAAACAGACTTGATACATAACGTCAGGTAGTTGTAAAATACCACATTACTTTGTATTCAAAGATTAAATGCAATATACTGGGCTCTGTCTTGTAAAGAGTCAATATTAATCGGAACTTATTTGTTATTGATGTCAATCATAACTATGTACTTAAGAGGAGGGAGACTGTAAATTTGCAATTGATTGGAAGACTTCTTTTGTATAACTCTTTATAAGCAGGGCCCAGATTTACTTATGTCTTGGCTCAGGAAAGAATAACAAATCCATCTGCCCAGCGATTTTTAAGCACAAACTTGTATATACATGTATGTCTGTGTGAGTAGGAATGGTGTTGTGCAATGTTTTTGATAATAAAGTGCACAGCACATTCGAAAATATGTTTCATTTAGAATTGTTTATATTTCGGTCTTGTACAAAGGATTAGTGAAGGTTTGTTTTGTTTAAATTTGTATACAGTCAAACCTGTTTTAGTGGCCACCTCTCTATAACAGCCATCTTTGTATAGTTGCCATGAACTTTGTCTCCCTCGAGAAATAACTGTGTGTTGAGAACCTGTTTCGTTTTCCCTTGGGTGACCTTAATAGGCAGGTTTCGCTTTTTTCTTCAACACGTGCAATGAGTGACACAATTGTGACAGAATTTTTTATTTAAAATGCTATTTCATAATTCTACAGTATTATTGTTTCAAGATGAAGATTACAAAATAAAAATAAACACCTTATAAATAAATCCTCTAAAAAGTAAATACATTGCAAAAAAGATTGAGGAAGTAACTTAAGAGGCAAGTCACTTTTTTTCTTCAACCACACTGAATGATAATTCTTATTGTTAGCAACTTTCCAATATGTTTCCAGCTCAGTCTGAAATAGACTTATGCGCCGGTGTCATTTCATTTATATATATCTACTCAGGCGCGCCGGAAGCAGTTTGGGATGGGGGGGGGGGGGACGTTACAGGGGGCTCACCTTTCAGAGATTACAAAATAAAAATAAACACCTTATAAATAAATCCTCTAAAAAGTAAATACATTGCAAAAAAGATTGAGGAAGTAACTTAAGAGGCAAGTCACTTTTTTTCTTCAACCACACTGAATGATAATTCTTATTGTTAGCAACTTTCCAATATGTTTCCAGCTCAGTCTGAAATAGACTTATGCGCCGGTGTCATTTCATTTATATATATCTACTCAGGCGCGCCGGAAGCAGTTTGGGATGGGGGGGGGGACGTTACAGGGGGCTCACCTTTCAGGGGCAGTGGCGTAATGAGCAAAAACGTTTGGAAGCCCCGGCGGGGGGTCAAGGGGCTGAGCCCCTGGAAGCTCAGGGTTTTTAGGCATTAAATTACGGTATTAAAGATAAGCATATTTAGATACCTTATTTGTGACACTGTTAGGTCACTAATTGGCGGAGAGTCCTGGGGGCAGAGCCCCCGGAAGCTCAGGTGTTTTAGGTATTAATTACAGTTAGGTTATCATCCAGGGGCCCTATTTAAGGCCATTTACGTGGTCCGGAAGCTAATGGGTTTTAGGTATTTAATTACGGTCAGATGAGCATCCAGGGGCCCGCTTTAGGGCCCTTAGTGTTGGTCCAGGGGGCAGAGCCCCCGGAACCTAAGAGTTTTAGGTATTCAATTATGGTCAGCTGAGCATCCAGGAGACCGTCTTAGGGCTCTTGGTGGGGTCCGAGCATATGAGCATATTTTGATACCTTATTTGTGACTTTTTTTTTAAAGTGAGGGGGCTCGAGCCCCCGAGCCCAGCCGTTTCTGCAGGCCCTGACATGAAGGCTTCTAAATAATCATATTCTTCGCCCGACTGTAAATTTGGGAATTTCTAAATTTCCAACAAACGCATAAAAAGGTATATGACTTACACAAAAATTGAGAAAAATACCGGAAAATCTAGTCATTTCAGTAACATTTGTAAATCACTGGTATCGAATAAGAAATACCCCCCCCCCCCATCAGTACGCTAGCGTTCAGGGGTTCAGGTCTTCTCAAGCTTTCCCATCTGCTCACAACATTTCCATGATATGCGCGTATCGCTCTCATAAAAACCTCCATTGATTAATATAGGTGGCTTGCGTAATGTTTAGGAAATTGAATTCCTGTTAACTTTCCTTTGTGATGTGATTTAATTCCGTGTTTTTTTTATTGTTATGTACTTTTGGGTTGAAAATACAAACCAAAAAATCCATGTAACAGATATTCCCGGCCAATCCTCCCCCCCCCCCCCGGCCAGAGAATCATGGATTCGTCATTGAGTGAAAGTTTTACGAACAGTTCTAATTCAGGTTTTTCATGTATTGTTATTTTTACTGTAATGATGTAGTATACATACATCATGGAAAATTAATAAAAATCAGAGATGTGAATGTCTTATGAAGACGTCAAAATGGGCATAAACGAATAGTAGAACATGGCGAAAATAGGAAAGGGATTGGGAAGGCGCACAATGTCCCCACTTGTTCAAGTACCCCTCAAGTGCCCCTCTTTATGTAGGGAAGGTGCCCCCTTTTACTTCAGATAAGTGCCCCTTTTTAGTTCTTATATGTGCCCGTTCCCATTTCCTATAAGTGCCTCTTACCACCTTTGATGACTGTCTCTAATCAAATCTGACAGGTTCCCCTTTTGTTTTTAACAGGGGCTCTCTTTATTTAGTAATAAGTGCACCTTCCCCTTCTGATAAGTGCCCCTTTCATCTTTGATGAGTGCTACTTCTCACCTCTGATAAGCGCCACCTTCTATTTATACACGCGCTCCCTTTATTTTTCAAATAAGTTCCCTCTTTCCTTTTGATAAATGCCCCTTTTATTAGTGTTTAATAAGAGCCACTTCCCCCTTCTCATAAATGCCTATTCTGACAACTCTGATAGATTCAAATTTGAGAGGTATCCCCTTTAACTCAGTAATAAGTGACACTTTTCATCTCTGATGAGTGCCCCTTTTATATAGACACCTGCTCGTTTCCTTTCTAATTAATTCCTTTCTTATCTCTGGTGAGTATTCCTTATCAATTGCCTCATTTTCACCTCCGATCGATAAATCCCCTTTTTACTTTGACAGAAACTCTTCTTTATTTGTTATTTTTTTTTATAATAAGTGTCCTTTTCCTTTTGGATACGTACCCCCATTCCGTTTACCATAATAATTATGTGCTCCAAATTTAAAGCAACAAAGAACAACTTTTTCTTAAATTGAACACAAAGCTCGCTCGCTACGCTCTCTCGCATTTAACATTGATATAATTATATATCTTATTAAAGATCTGTTCAGTCTTTCATGATTAGATTGTGCTTAAACTTTAGAATTGTTCTCTCCTCTTTAGAAGATGTAATTTTTCGCACTGCGACCTCACAAATCTATAAAATTGTGCATGCTCGCTCGCGCAAATAAATATTCAGACCATCACACCCAAATATATATTTTTTGATTTTATTTCTGCATTTTTTGCAAAGTATGATGCTGAAGCAGTGTCTTGGAGCATGTACAAAGAGAAACAAACATTGAAATCATCCCTGATAATGTAATCACAATTTAGGGGTATATACCAATGTCTAACAAATTTGAGATTTCCCTTAGTAGGTGCCTTTTTTCCGGAAAGTGCCCTTTTTTGTTGGTGCACCCCCTCACTTTGAAAGACGCTCCGCCGCCCCTGTGCCCGAATGTGTAATTTTTATAACATGGAGCCTCGAAAGCTGACAATCTCTCCTCATATCATGTGAAAGTGGGCACAATATTCTGCTCCACTATACGCCGCAGTCACGCGGGCGATTCATTTCAGCAAAACACAATGATCTGATAGTTTCGTCACATGATGATGTATAGTTTGTTCTTTTTGCGCCAAAAAGTGAACACGAGTGGCCGCGATCTGGTAATCTTGGAGAAAAATCCCCCGGATGATGTAACGAATTGTTCAAACTATTATATGGACATGCACCTTCATATCACATTCCAGAGTTGAGGTCATTAAACTTTTGTAAGTGGTCAAGATTCCTATGTTTAATGACCGATGTTTCCAACACATGGACAAAACCGCTTTGCAACTTTGTTTTCTCTTTAGACATTATTGCTCGATCGACTCATCTGCACTTAACTTTGACATTTCAATTGTGAGAGCATTTAAAGCCAGTTTGTTGCTATTTCGGAAGATCGAATAGCATGCTCTCCAGCAACCTTATATTATAAAAGAGGCAGCTCATTTATAAATAAACTTGTTCTATTCACAAGTTGGTTGTAATGACCCTAGATATTCCCTAGCGCTTCGCCTGACAAAGCTACAAGTCTATTTTAAAGACTTGTCGTTGAACGAGATGTGAGCATTGTTCTACCCACGATAAAGAAATAAAGAATGTAAGGTATCTGCTAGCATGTTAATCGTAGCTCATTATTAAATTGATCAGTTTAGCTCCGACTTCGGAAGGCTCAACATCCAGATGTAGACGCGGGAGTTAACATTAGTGATTTGTTTCTTATTTCTTAGTTTGTTCCATTATTTCTCTTTTCTTTGATTTTTGGCTACTCTCCCTGTGGTGTAGTAGGCCTATATAATTTTCCACACAAGTCGGAAACGTGAAAGTCTTAAACGAAAGACCGATCATGGCGATATATATATTAGCGGGAAAACCCCAAGTATTTTGTTGTCTGCTGCTTCTGGTAGCGGCGCCACCGCGCACGACGGCCTTGCATAGCAACGAGCACGGGTACAGGGACACCGCAGCTGGCGAGCCGGAGCTTGCCCAGGGAGAAATCGACGAGCTGCTGGCGAGACACAACGAAGGTCGTGCAGAAGTTGAGCCGACTGCCGCCAATATGAACAAAGTGGTGAGTAGAGACGATCATCTTTATATGAGAGCATTTACGAGCAATCCGAAATACAAAATATATTACATTTTGTGTATTTGTAGACATGACTGTGGGTATTTTCAAATTAAAATCATGGTGCATCTCTTCAAAGTCTCCGAATCAATCTACCAAAAAACAAAATTGATGAACCTTCTTCTTCTTCAGGTTACATCTGTCTCCTTTAGAACATAATTTAACATTGTTTCCTATGAACGATATATATATATATATATATATATATATATATGCGATGACTGATAATGGAAATGATAATAATTGCATTAATTGGAAAGGGAAATGAAGGGTGAACAAAAAATAAAGAAAGTTCTGTATTTGATTCCCATGTCTTTCATTTGCTTTTTTATTTGGAATTTCGGATATAAGGGAGGGTGGGAAGTTATGGGGTGTTGCACCTCGCATTCAAGACCTCCCTCCCCGCATGTTCAAGAATTTTAGGCTGACTTTTCAGCAATTTTGATCCATCCATCACCGTTTTAAATAGTTTTTCTGACACCCCTGAAGAGTTTTAAAATCGCAGTTCCTTGGAAGAATCCTGGATCGATGAACAGGCTTAGACCTACAACATCGTGTATTAAAGTAAGTAAGTAAGTAAAGTAATAAAAATATGGAATAGGCCTATCTTCGTTTGAAATATTTATCTATGTTTGACTCTGATTAACGATAAATATGCATAATATCTCATTGCTTATCTATATGCTTTGACTGCAATATTAAACATTCAATGTTGACATTACTGAATTGTCGATCCCATTTTTTAATTACCCCTGAACTCTCATTTTATCCGCCAGCGTTGGAACCATGAACTGTACGTGGCGGCCAAAGAAAAGGTAGAGACCTGTTCATACGTCATCGATATACCGGCAGAGACGGGACACTACGGGAGAGTGGTCCAGTTTACTGGAATCTCACGGGTATGTATGAAACGAAATCATCAAAGATATTAAAAGGGGAAATCCAGCCTGTCAGGAAAATGATAGAAACATGTCGGGGAAAGTTTTTTAATCGAATTCTGATAAAAAATAAAAACGTTATGAATTGTTGAAATTGTGTCAGTGTTGCATTTTGTGTTTCACCGATTCCAACTTCAAATATTAAAAACTGTCCTACTTTTATTCGGATATTGATCAAACCTTCACTAATTTTCTTAATATCAGACTTCCCCTTTAAAGCCCCTCTGAACAAGTTTGGCCAGGAGGGATTAGGCCTCCCTACATGGTCACTGACAGCTGGTTATCTCATCAAATCAGCTCTCAATTAACATACGAAAAAGGGACCATGGGGACCAATGGTCACCGACTAGGCATTGTTTGCTATATAGAGGGCGCAAGTACCTTTAAGTAGTACAGTGAGGATTTAAGTTGATTTTGATAGAATCAGGAAAATGAGAGGAACATGTCAGGAAAAGTTTTTAGATCAAAATCTGATAAAAAAATAAGAACGTTATAAATTATTGAAGTTGTGTCAGTGTTGCCAATTTATGTTTCACTGGTTCCAACTTCAATTGTTCAAACATTCCTTTTTTTAAATCAGATATTGCTTAAAGTTTCATTATTTTTCTTAATATCAGACTTCCCCATTACATAAACTAAGGTATGGGCATTATTTCGCCAAACCCACATCGATTTCCCACTGAATCGCAGTAACAAAATTAACTTGCTTCCGTGAGAGGTGGGCGAGCTTTATGTACCTTTTCCATAATTTCGTGACAGGATGTCAAAGTCAAGTAAGAGCGATTTTATCATTAGCTGCAGTTAGCAATTTGTTAGGATGCTTTCTTTCCACCGTACTACCCGACACTTACAAATTATAAAAATATAGACTTATGAAAATAGAATTGAAATGATTCGAATATTCCTTTTTTCAGTTGCAAGTTTTGCAAGTCAAATGTTAATATCCTGTACACACAGAAGCAACAGACGCGGTTCTACAAGAATATTTTCTGACAGAAAATCAATTTTCCAGTTTCAAAATGTTGCTACGCAGTGAGCAAACAGCAGTGAAATAATTATCACTGAAAAAAATGAGGATATGGATATCCGATTTTAAATTTCCCTTATTTTTCTTTTTTGAATGAGTAATGCAAGTATTTTTTTTAATTTTTGTATAGTGAAAGCGTAATTTTGTCATAAAATGTAAGAATCACAAATAGACTACTTTGCTCCCCGAGTTTTATCTGTTTTTAGAAATTGCCAAAATATAAGTATCTGGCGGGGGGAGGGGGTGGTGCTGCCCCCACCCTCGCGAATCTTACGAATAAGTGCTAATTAATGTTTCTGAACTACTCTTAAAATTACTGATTTTGTTATTTTACAGCGACCTACTTTTGATTTGGCGGATGCAGTAGATACGTGGATGTACTTGGGTAAAGACAGCTACAATTACGAACAGGACACATGTAGCAGAGACGACATCTTTTGTCAAATGTATAAACTGGTAAGATTATTGACAAATTTCTTTATTTATTTATTTGTTGATCTGTTTTTTTCTCCTTCTTATGTATTATACTATGTGAATGAAATAACCAAAGTTATTTCATGGGTCTAATTTTGCGAACTAAAGTATTTGGAAAGTTTTAAGAAATTTGCAATATTGAAGGGATCTTAAAATTGGAATAAGTGGTGATTCAATCATTAGAAGGGCGGTTCTATATGGCGGGGCGGTCCCGTATTAATTCTTAGGGCCGCAGTGAAGTGGCGATTCCTTATTTCTTCGACCAGGGGATGAGGATCTAAACATTGTGACGAGCAGCAACAGCAAAAACCACAACAAAAAAACATCACCGCTCCCGCTACCACTACCACGATCAACAAAACGGCAAAAGCTCCACCACCACCAACGCCAGCAGCAACACATTTCACATTTCCCGGAACTTTAACCCCTAACAAAATATATGACGATTATGAGGAGGAATGGAAGACGTGTTGATCATAAGCCGTAAGTCTGCCACCAACTGCCCCCCCCCCCCAAAAAAAAGGAGCTACATTGACCCCATACCCCCTCTAACGCCACTCCGACCTCTATGCATTTATATCATATGGTAAACATGAAACAATATGAAAATCAATTTGCCAATAAACAATCTTTAATTTCCTCCTTTTAATCTGGATTTTCTCTTTTTTATAGTTTACCTGGGCACCGATGGAGATCATAGGTTGTGCACACACTCTATGTACCACACTCGAGGATACATACACAGGTCGTACCCTTCTAAACACCTACTATTGGAAGTGCAACTACTATCCTGTGTAAGTTTCTAGTCTTATCGGTACTCACATTTTAGGAAATGGTATAAAAGATCTGAGTGCATCTGAAAAGTTTCAGATTCTATACATTTGTAGCCATATCAGACGAAGTGGGGGCTGCAGCCCAATCATTTTTAAAGTTACCAATACTCTGGGCCCCCTGCATCTAATGTTCGGGTAGTGAGGTGGTCTATTTGTAGTATATTAAATCTAGTCCAGCAAAATTATTTGTATGGCAAATTTACATCATTAGAGTGCCATTTGTATTGTTTGCTTGGCTCGCTTGCAAATTTCGAAAATGAAAAGTTCATATTCTGGCAAGCGACATCAGTCTAGCCCCCTCCCCTGCTTCCGCTTGCCCCCTTGACTTATGCTTATGCATACATCCATAGCGGAAATATGTGGATGGACAGCCAACCACATGGTAGGGGTGAAAGTTTGGAAGATATTCAAGTAGTTTATCGAAACCATTGTATTCGTGTGAATGAAATTACAATCACAACTGAAGAAAAAAAAGAAAATTATATGTATAAATTCTGAGGAAGGAAATTTCCGCACTTTAAGGACTGAAAAATAATATAGCAACGGTTTATCGCAAACCTTATATACATGTTGATTCAGTAACAGATCAAATGGAGATGAACATACTTTTTTCTGTCTCTATTTGATTTCAAACGGTTCCATTCCTCTTTTCTTTCTGGTGGTTTAAGTGGCGACTTGGATGATGCCAACCCCTACACGGTCGGTACTCCGTGCCTCGATTGCCCTGACAATACTGGCTGGTGTAACAGTGAATACGACATGTGCGGTAAGATAGCCCTCTTTACTAGTTTTCAGCATCGCAAATTGGGAAAAGTTTATCGTCACCTCACCGTTATAAGGACGTTGTAGCCATTGACAGTACATTTTGGTGGTATCCTTTATTTCAGAAAGCCGACGATTTACAGGAACGAAATTATAATTTCTCTGATGATGATGAGTCATAAAAAAGGGGGAAATAAGAGACAAAGCATAGTAAATAACCAGCGGTATATTCTTTGGTGATATTCATATTTTTCAGGTTTCTTAGTGTAGCAGTCATAAGGATTGATTTATATATTCATTTTTCAAATACACTGATATTATCATGGGGAGGATCTAGGATTGTCCGATGGATGATGGGAGATGTGGAGCCTCTCGACTTTACGTTTTCAAAGGGAACACGATTTTGCTCAGCCATTTTCAGTCGGACACGTCGCGGACAGAAAAAATTCTGGCATCTCCATCCCTAAACCTAAATATTATGACGGCCCTTCTGACGACTCGGAAAGAGAGAAGGAGAAGGGCATCTGTTCTTACCAATACAATTTCAAAGTTCTCATTTCTATGCTATTTATTCTCAATAAAGGGGGTCGTTGCCCTTTCAGCCCCCGGACCCGCCTTTGTATTTTATTAACATTATATACTGTTTTATTGTTATGAATGCCGGGTAATCATTTCACATTGTGTTTTGTCGCAGATCCCGAATGTAGCTCAAGCGATGATTCTTGTGACTGCCTTTACAGTGATACATGTAGTGGTGTATATGACTACGACTCGGAGGCTTGTTCGTGTACCTGTAACCATGCCCAGTGCCAGGATGACCAGTTTGGTAAGTCACCCGGGGGCCGTTTTCACGAAACCGTCATAAGTCTAACTTCTAGGACATCCCATTGAAACGTGTGTTAATTAATTAATGAATTAACACGCGTATGTACAGGATGTCCATGAACTTAGACTTATGACAGTTTCGAGAAACTGTCCCCAGGGCACCGTTTTCACGAATCTATCATAAGTATAAAGTTCGCCGACATCCCTTTGAAAGTGTGCATTAATATCGACACACCTTTCAAATGGGATGATAATATATTTTAAAAAAATCTTCTGTACCGCATTTTAGGACCGTCGAGGGGGGGGGGGGAAGGCAGGGGACACCTCTATCTCCTTGTCTATTTGTCCTCCTTTCTTTTCCCCTCTCATTTTGTTAGGCACCTTACAGCCTACCATATAATGACTTAGACGTAGCTGTTCAGAAAAACATTTGTCCGTGTTTTTGTTGTTGCTCATGCTTAGAAAAAAATGCAGGCATTATACCTAACAGAAACATATCACGAACAACAATTTTGTTTGTATTTTAAGTAACTAGTTGATGATCTTTGTTCTCCACGAAAATGCTCACGACACAGTTTGATTATTGTTGTTCTCTTTTCATCAGTGTGCATCTTGAAGTGCGGCAACCCTGCTTGGGCTGTAGTTAATAACGACGCAGGAATATGTTTCTGTAATTGCCCGGCGGGCTACGAGAAAAATGAAGCTGAAGATGAATGCAATGGTGAGAGTTGTTGACTTTTTGTCTTGTTCTGTTCCCTCTTTCTTCTGTTCTCTTTTCGTATGTCTAGTCGTTCTCTTCATTTTCTCCTTCCTTATTTCCTCCACCATACCTTAGTGGTCATCTTCATTTCTTTCTTAGTTTATTCTAACTTTAGATTCTTTTTCTTTTTCTTCTCCTGTATTTTTCTGTCTGCCTGTCTGTCTATCTCTGTCTCTCCCTCTGTCTCTCTGTTTCTGTCTCTGTCTCTCTTTTTCTCTCTCTCTCTCCATACCTTTCTCTCTCTCTCCATCTCTTTCTCTCTCCTTCTCTCCTTCTCTCTTCCCCTTATCCTTTGTCTCCTTTTCTTTTATTCCTTCGCCTTCTCATATCATGTTCTCCCGTTGAATCATCTTTTCCTACATAATATTATCATCATTCATTTCTCCCTCCTTCTCATCTCTCTTCCTGTTTCTTTCTAATCTTTTGTATTTATATGAGGTAGTTTCGCTTAAATTTGTTTCGATCATTCATTGTAAATCGTAATTTTACTGGAAAATTTTCACGGTTGAATGTGTTGAATATTATATGGAGTGAGTTTACAAAAATGCTCTTCAGCGCAAACAATGTATGCCGCTTAGTGTTTATGGATTTTTATTTCTATCAACTTACTTTTGCATAAATACATTCTTGTTTTTAACTGTTAATTGTAACTTGTTCATTGTTCTCTCTTGAAAAGGCATCGGGTATATATAATTATGATATTTATAAAATTGATCAAAGGCGAGATTTTCTATGATTTTCTATATGAAGTAAGCATTATTGATACAAAGTTCTATTAACTCTCAGCTTACTAAGAGATTTCATATTCCTCATTATTTTCGTCCATAGATATCGACGAATGCCTCGGCGATCCGACACTATGCGAGCACAACTGCGATAACACCGAAGGCTCTTACGAGTGCAGCTGTTTGCACGGCTTCGAACTGGACGTCGATGGCCACAGCTGCACGCCCTCCTTCATGATCGGCCGTCACGATCCCAGCCTCATCCGACAGGCCTCGTCCACGATAGCTCCTTCGACTGCCGAGGAAACAACTGAGGAAATGACAGTGACGTCGGAGGAGATGTCGACGACGGATGAGACGACTACGCAGGTCGAAACGACGACGGAATGCATGGTGTATGACTGTAGCGCTCAAGGGACCTACGATCCTGTTGACTGTACCTGTATATGCGATGCCGGATATTTCTTCAACAAAGTAACATGCGAAGGTAAGTATGACCAATGAGCTTAGACCTCCTTGGTATGACAAATAGTACATGGAATACATCATTAATGTATGTTTTACCCCCTTATCATGCATGCCTATCGTACTATATTTGGTTGGTCCTTTTTAATTAGGTCGTTCTTTAGGGACCAATATCATCGGAGCGTCGTTTGTATTGGCCTACATTTTGATTAAGGTGAGGGGGGTGGACCAAAGTTGCCGACAATTTAGCTGAAAATCTTCAAACAAGGTAGTTTGTTGGTAGCTTGGCTCAAGCCGGGGAAATAAAAGCCTGGACTACAAGCCCTCAGGGAGAACATTATATAAGACTGACGAGGCTGCCCCGGTAAAGAAATTATTGTTATTATTATAATTATTAATTAACAAGCCCAGTCGTACCAATGCGACCGACATCCATGACATCAGACCGACAACACATCGAAAAAATAATATTCCCAACGGCCAAGAATCGATTGGTTTGGAGACAATTTTGTGGTTTTGACGAATGGTTTGTTAGAATCATAAAATTTCGCCATTTGCCGACTGGCTGCGGAAATTCAAAGATTGCAGTAAGAACATATTAATGGGCGTTGTTAGGTGGGGGGGGGGTCAATCTACCTAACCGCTTCCCAAGATTGTCACGTAATTTTGAAACCAGATTTAATCACATTTTAAGATGCAGTATGGATATATTTTATTATGAATTCTATCCTTTGCTTCTTTCTTTATCCATGGTATCCAGATATCAACGAGTGTGAGACGATTGAAACGGGATGTGACAGGTGCCTGAACCTCCCCGGTGACTTTAGATGTACTTCATGTTTTGCAGGCTCGTTTTTACATGAAGCGACTGGACGATGCGAAGACGATGGTGGGGCACTTCTTTGTACTATTCCTTTTTTTAAATGGAACACGATTTACTCTGTGTTTTTTTTTATACGCCTCTGTTTCATTTTTTCTTCTCATTGTCTCTCGTCCGCTCTCTCCCCTCTATCTCTTTATACCCATATCCCCTTCTCGATATTTGTATCCGTCCCTCTCTTGTTCTTCCTCTCTTGCACCCTCCCTCTCTCACACCATCCCTCTCTCACACACCATCCCTCTCTCACAATCTCTTCCTCTCTTACAAGTTCTTCCTAGAGTGTATTTTTTTTTACATGATTAACATAATCGTTTGTTCGTTGTCGCTTATGTTTTCCGACAATAAACCGTGTATTTCGAACTTTATAATGTTAATAAAAATATGTTTTGTTTTCATACTAGTTTGCAACATGCAAGAAGGGATGCATTGCAGCGATAATGGATTCCTAGACGAAGATATATGCGAGTGTGTCTGCTTCTCTGGCTACAAAGGAACACTATGCGAAAGTAAGAAAAACAAATTATTTGTTAGGGGGTATATCAGGGGCATAGATAGAGAATGGCAAAACATGTGTAGTGGGGAAAAAAGGGAAAATAGAAAAAGACAGAGCGAAAGAAAAATAGGAAGAAGAGAAATAAAAGGATATTGGTTGAAGTCGTAATATTATTTAGTACTTGATTGATTAAAAAAAAAAAAATCTATTTCTTTATTTAGTATTTATTGATTGATTAATTCATTTACTTAATCATTGACTTATTTGTTATTTATTTGATTATTTATTGATCGATTTATTTATTTATTTCTGATGCATTCTGCTTGCTGTCAGGTACATGTGCAGTGACCGAGTCGAGTTGTTGGTTTTCATATGATCCCGTACCACCTACCGACCCGAGTCAGTGTGTGGTGTACTGCCCGGAGTGTGGTAAGTATACACACTATTAAATCAAGGTTAAAATGTGCACCATTTACCTTTACAACATCTTTAAGGTACAAATTATATGATACATCCTTGTCAGAGAACCTGGGCCGGTATTCAATCGGATAATTGATAAGATAATCTAAAAATGATGGACGTTTATGAACAATTTGAGAGACTCAGGGGGGGGGGGGGGGGGGAGCGTTGTCTAACTTTGTTCATAATGCAAATTGCACCCGTATTGGCGCACCATGAAATAATTTAAACTTTGAGGAAGTGATTCTGCTCTACCGTTTTAGGGTTACGAATTTGAACTTTTTAATTTTTAGTGTAAATATTCGTAGCATAATATTATAGGCTACCATAATTATGGTAAACTAGAGAAGAAGTGCGAATGTATAATTGGATGATAAGTCAGAATGAAATTTCTTAATCCTCCCCTTTTCAGAATGCGAAGGTTACCAACCATGCCACCACAGTGGTATTCTTGCCAGAGCTTCAGGGTTCGAATTCGTCAAGAATGGTATCTGTCGCTGCTACTGTCCTTTGCCTTGGAGCGGAGATCTGTGTGACGGTAAGCACTCTTGCCAACAACTGCACCCATGTAACAGTCATTTTTCCATTCTCTGTACCCCTTTCATTTTCTTTTGATACCACTTCTAAATGAGCCAAACACTTTGGCAGGCGAGATTCCTGAAATCATCCCCCTGGGAAATTTTAAGTCACAAGACCCCCTCCCTCACCCCTTTGGATAATCCTGAGCCCACCAAGGCATGCATTTACTGCAATTTAAGACATGCTGAAGACCCCTTGTTCCAAAGTCTTAAAGGTTCTTTAATTATATTTAAAAAGATTGCCTTGAAAGTGACCAGGAGAGGAGAGTGCATGGCGGATAGCCCCCCCCCCCCCAACCCCTGGATACGCCTTTGCGATTAGTAAATATCTTTCATTTATTCTTATTTACACACAGAGTGCAACCTGACATGTGAGAATGGTGGTACCCTCAACCCTGTAGATTGCTCCTGTTCTTGTGGCAGTAACTGGTATGGCATCGATTGCTCAAGTAGGTTTTACGTTTTAGCACAATATCAGTCATAACATTTTCTTAAAGTAAACATAACCTTGTCGTTTGGAAAACAAACACATTTCGCGACAATTTGGTGAAGGACAGCATATAATGCTAGTTTTAGGTGCATCTGTTGTGTTTAATTAAAACGCACAAGATCAGGGGTGTAATAAAACACGTTGTCTTCCTTAAAGTGTCCCTCACTTCCGTTCCATTATTACAGGTTAGCGAACTGTTTTACATATCGATTGCAAAACAGATATAAATACAGATGAGAGACAGACAGCTAGAGACAAAGATAGAGGCAGAATGAGAGAGAGAAAGATAGAGATAGAGAGAGAGAGAGATTGAGAGGGGGAATGGAGAAACCATATAAGGAAAAGGAATGATTACTTGAGGCTTTCAAATGAGTAAGTGAATATTAAAGTTGATCTGGTACAGTAGAAAATCGGCCATCGCAGCTCCTTTATTGAACATTGAGTATCATAGACAATGCTTCCTAGCAATAATTGGTCAAACGTCCCACCCCAGGCTTCAGAAAGTCATGGGTCCAGGGAGTAAAAAAAAGTTTGTATGTGTGCATATCAGCTGGGAGGCGGGAAAACAACAATTGTTTAGATGTTGATGATGGCACCCACATAGAAAATGTTAGGATAACACCTCTTATTATTTTGTTGCGTTATGTTTTGTGTTATTATATATTTTTGTTTTATTTGTTTGTATTTATCTTAGAACCATGTAACCAAACTTCACGACTGTGCACAACCCGAACCCTGAGTCTATGCGGGGACGTACCAATCATCGATGAACACTGTCCAGTCATGTGCGGCATCTGTCTCGGAAAATAGTCGTGAGATGGTCGCGTGAGCGCCAACGATTCGTGAATGTGAACTACTACTCGGGATCCCCAGCCTTTTCTTCGCTATCTCCTCTGACATGTTTTAATTGAAATTAAAAATCTGAAATGTGATTGATCACAAGGACTGTCAAGAAATTTACTCAAGGAAATGAACTCCAGGAAATGCCATATGTATTGTCTATAAAAAATAATCGTCGAGTCACGTAATATGTCAGTGTAATAATTGCACATTTCAATAGGATATTTAAGAGCCTTTTGAAATTGACTACGGTTGATTCTCGAAAGTCTCTTCGATCTTTTGGACTATTTTCCTTTACTGTTGATTCCTAGCCCTTCTCTGTATAGTCTCAATCAAGGGAACCTCAAAGGTTTGGGCAGATATGGCGCTATGGACTGCAGCAAAAAAAGATACATAATTGTGAAGCGTATATTACAATTTACGTCATCCTAAAGAGAAAAAAATACCGCCGGGGATTTCCAACGTCATATCTAAACGAGCCTTGTATGCTGAACTCACTTTGACATTTCTAACAATTTGCCTTTACTTAGAATCAATTTCATATGATTAGATACATGATATATTTTCTATAAGAATTCTGGTCAAACCAGTAAAACCTATTTTGGTAATTGTTACTAAGCTCATCTCATGTATGTGTATTGTATAAGTTATCATGATTAAATGATGTTTAAATGCAATCTATTTAACAATATGTGAACATATCTATGTACAATACAGTTTTTAAATTTAGAAGAGCAAACGAATGTACTTCAAGCACAAACTTAGAAAAAATATATATTTCTTTCTAAATCATCTTGCGTGTATGTATGCATCTGTGAAGTTCACCAACTCCCTTCCTTTCTCTCATCCGAATTTTTTACTCTATCCTTTTCCTTTCTCTTTCTTTCTCATTCATTATATTCCCCTCTTCTCTTTCAGTTTCTCTCTATTTACTTTTCAGGCTGCAATAATTTTTTCCTTCATTGTATTCTACCAAAGGATGACAAATTTAGATGATTTAACAGAAAAGCCAGTTTATTTTTCTACACAGCGACAAACAAGTCACAACTAGACAGTACAATTTATTTTGGTGAACACTTTTTACTCTAAAAAAACAAATGTTTGCAAAATGGTCTTAAGCTCGGCCACTTTGCACACTTATATTCTTGTAGGATCTCATAAATTGCCGCCGTCATATAGGATATAGATACCTTTTTAAAGGGTTAACAAAATTTAACCACAGTTGTTATGTAATTCCTTCAGTACCTATAACATGCCTCTTGATAAACATTGCATTCCAGTACTGAAATGTTAGAAGGTTCTGATACGGTTCAACTTTCGGGAAACAGTCTTAATTTTTGGTTAACTTGTGCGGCTGTATTTATTTAGGGTTCTCACTAATTTTGAATCCCACTGACAAGACTTGTGGAAGAAATTCAATTACTGATATTAAACATTGAAAACTGTGCAGATCGAGCTCCCTGCTACCTTGCGATTTTCGCTGCGTTTATAATCTGGTTAGAAATTGCGTAAAAATGCAATAAATGTCTATCGTTAGATGGCCTTGGTCCCTTGCCTTTACAGTTACGTAGATAAGTAAGGAAAACGGGGGCACAGATCCAACGTTTGCCCCGGACGGCTATAATGCCTAGATGCGCCACTGTTGACAAGTAGTGTGTTAAAAATTGTTAATACTTGGGTGATAATAAGTCGAAATTTATTTTTCACATTTAATAAACGAAGTTTGCATAATGCTGACAGATAAATATTTTCTCGGAATTAAGTCTCATGACAGATTAATATTACAATTCCCCAACGCCGTAATCTACATACAAAAACAAATGAACGTACAAGTGACATAAAATGACTCGTTTGAGCAAACGGAGTATATTGATAAAATATTGGCACAGGGGGCACATATCTTAAGCATAAAATAAAGAAGTGCGCTCTTAAATGTGCACCCGTACCAATTTGAGACATCAAAGGCTCCTTGACATGTAATAGTACCTCTTTGAATTTTTGAAGATCCTTGACTTGTGCCACTCACTCCATCCCAGCCAGATGATTGTGGATCATACACACATCGTGACAAAAATGCAGAAGAAAAGCGCAAAAATATCTTTTAGTTTTTCACTTTGGTAACACCAACACTTAAATCATGTGGAAAATTGAAGATTTCGGTGATTTTGTTACCGAAATTTGAGCCCGCTTGTTTCAGAAGGGAACATTTAAATTCAGCCATAGAAAAAAGATATACCTATATAATATGTAATTACTAAAATATATATCACACTAAAAAACCCATTAATACTCTACTAACATCAATTAAGACCAAGCTTTGAACTTCTACGCTTTGGATAGGCACATTTATTTAACCATTAGAAGGTCTGATTAAGAACATCGCAAACATAATGCAAGTGGCCCTTCAAATGTTAATGAACATGTGCATTAATTTTTTGTAAGACAATCTTGTTCAACAAAGAAAACAAAGAAGGCACAAAATGAGGATGATTGAGCTCTTGGTGCCAACTGTAGTCTCAGAACAGTATGATTTTGATAAGCACGGTCAAGATGCCTCTCCTTTCCACCCAAGATCGTGGATGAGCCAAAGGATAACTCCAATGCTTGTCAACATTTGAATGGCTGGATGCTCTATTTGTTCAATCTTCTTTCAGAGACTCATATGTTGATATGTCTTGTTAAAGATAAGTTATATTAAATAGTTATTTGAAAATCTCAACCAAAAATATTGTCCACTCTTTTTTCTGAGTGCATTGATGCTCGCTGTATTTATACATAACGTTTAATTCCCCATTTTGGACGTAGTATAGAACATAAGATGACGACTATAATGAGTTTTTACAAAATAGGAATGTTATAATGGGACAAAACAAAAGAACTAGACATTTATAATAATTCTCTTTTTGTGTAACCTCCCTGTCGATGAAACGAGTTGCGTTTCGAAAATTTGGACGATAAAGATTACAAGGATCATTAGGCAATAATTCACTTCACGAAATGCTAGGAACTCATCTATAAGACAATACAATTTATTGGGTCATGTTCCCTCATTTGAGAGGAATTGTGAGCTCGATGGTAGAGTCTCTCCGCATGCCATACTCCTCCAGAGCCTTCGAGCCTTCCAGCAGCTTTCCATTATAAATCAGAACCTGTACATTGGGTGGGATGCAGATCTTCTTCTCGACCTGTCGCTTGAGGGCGTCTGCCGTGTCTGACATACGAACGTGGAAGGAGTGTGACTTGCTTCTGAGGTCACGAACCCAGATCTGTAGTGTTTCCGTTGCCTCAGTGATTCCCGGTTCCTGTCTCGGTGTGGCAGAGGCCTGGTCGGTGGACAAAGCTCCCATTCTCATCATGATAGCTGCCTGCTCATCGAGGATGCAGTTGAGCTTGTGGTTCTGCTTTAGACTGTACATGCCCGTGGAGGGAATACTAGTCTTCTCCTGGCAGAGACAGCATTTGATGTTAGACGTCCAACCTTTATAAGCGTAACGAAAATGATGAAATCAACAACAAAGACATCTGTATAAGCCATTATATAATTAAATGGAGGCGCACTAACATACTTACATTGTAAAATACATAACTTACACAGATCACAATCTTCAACGATTGGAAGGATCCAAATTATGCCCCTTGCATTTCAATGAGGCCCATCTATCGTGCTTTGATCTAGAGCGGCAGTGATTAGGATAACAGTCATAAATGTGACAACAGAAGATACAAATATGAAATCATAATAATCCTACAGTAATAAACTTACAGTATTAAAAAAGGATGATGTAATTTTGAATGGGGGTAGGGGTGTCACAGACTCCTATCTTCCTCATTATTATGGTTATTATGATTATAACTACGAATGTCACTATCATTATCACCATTAGCATTATCATTATTATTATAATTATCATTATCTCCATCATCATCATCATAAGTATGATATCAATGGCTCACGTACGTACCTTTAATGGCTACCAGCTCTTGAAGACATTCCAGACAGTAGGTATGGCCACAATCTAGATCCCTAGGCTCTTTCAGTGTATCGTGACACATCGAACAATTCAGGTTCTCCACGAGCTCAGCATACATCGATTTTAGATCCTCGTGACTCTCCATTGTCGTTGTGGTGATCGATGATATAACAAAGATTGTTGCTATATTTCTGGAGTCTTCAGTCTTCCAGAATTCGACCTTCTCTGACTGATCGACACACCAAATAGGACTGCTAGAAGTTAGAGCTCGATCGTACGTAGTGGATTTTTACAACGAATTTTTCCACAGTGCTCTCTTTTAGGGAATTCCCAATTTCTGTCCAGTATGTATCTATTTTTTGAATAAATTAAAGTAATTACTTGTTTTGCAGTATCGAAATACCCTAAGAACAAACACTAGTGTTCTCTGGTTTGTTACCTACTTCAACTAATTAAAAAAAGAAAAACCTATTTTAACATCTTCATAAAAATCTATATTGCCATTGCAATAAAGTCACATTGAATATGAACACTTCAATATCATTGTCAAATAAATTTACTATCACAAATCAAAGTTCAAATACCTCTAAGAACGCATAATGCAAACATATACATATAATTAGATATCAAAAATGATATGGTAGTCATAGAAACAATCATAAACATACATATTGCTCCGATTGTCTCATTTTCGCTCGCTCGATCACTGCAGCACAAACATAGCTCGTTCGACGTCACTACCAAACTAGCCAATCAGCTGTCAATGACGTCATATTGAATGCGGCGGCGGCATATAGATTTTGTGAAATTATCGAGAAATTGACTATTTCTAATTGCAAACTAGTTTTATTTTTGGATGGAAAAGCAGCCATTGTTATCTTGACATTCATTGAAGTCATCAGAATAGGGTAAGTTACTTCTCAGATGATTCAAAAGGTCCATTTTGTAGATAATTTTTTAATTTCTTAGAATGTTCCACTGTGTTGCAGGATACCGGGTGTATGCCATTAGGTGTGATGTGTTCGCGCGCTAGAAGTACAGGCCACCGCGCCGTCGGGTGTATTCTCGTACTGATGTAGGTGCAAAGCTAGAATGGCTACCACGCCCACTTCCCTCTCTATGCCTTTCTGAACATTCCTTTCCTTCTCAATACACTAACTTTCACCTGCCTAAGTTATTCAAACCATACCGCCTCGCCACTTCCATTACGTAATCATTAAAATGATCCGCATATACAACATTTTCCTGCTATACGTTGTACTGCAGGAAAATACAAATCTCCCTGGTATACCTTACAGTCCAAACGATAAATATGTGCCTTTAACGAAGCAGGCGACAATCGGCGTAGTAGACGACACTTGATAGTAATTTTGTATGTGAGATTGCTTTGCTAAATATAAATTACTTTGTTAATAAATATCAACTAAAATTTCTTTTACATTTCTTTAAACCATCATTGATATTTAATAATTCATGAGTGAGTAAAAGAAACATACCAAACTATATAATTATATGAAATACTTGGTGGCAATTAGGGGAGTTTGACGTGATGACGGTTTGCACCCCTCTGTTAATAACCGAATAGTCCATGGGGTGTCATGAATATTCATGTTTTTGTTTACCTCGGCTAAATGTTTGCTTTTACTAAATTGAAAAATTACGGTGGGGGGTTGGATGAAATGGACATAATGAAATAGGCAGAAGTGATCTATGATAATTCATGCTTTTTATGTTTCGTGTGCTCGACCTATAATCTTCGAATCGCTTGGCAAACTGAGTCCAAAGTTAGACTTGTTTCACATGTGTAGTATAGGCAATGACGAGCTTGCAACCTATTTTGAAAAATTACGGTGGGTGAACTTTCAAAATTCAATGAGACATGAGGGCTCCAATGAAAGAGCTAGTGATAACGTACGTCGGGGTGGATGTGCTTTTCGTTTGAACAAAAAATGAATTTTTAACGATTAAAAAAAAAACGTCCGTAGGCTAACATGTTAGGCTGCTGACTCTGACCATGCTCTGACGATAGGGGGCGTTGTGAAATGAGACTAAACGGAGCAATGTGCATGAATCTTTCTCTCAGATATAGGTAATTAAACCAAATATGAAAAGGGTTCATTATTGCAGAAAAAGAAAGATTTCTTGCATGTAAAAAAGGTTCTATAAATGAGTTCACTCAAATTGAATAACCATAAAACTTGTATTAACAGGTTTTTATTCATTTTGTTGAAATAAACATGTACAGCTAAACATGTGTCTTAGTGCCCCCTTTCTTTAAATGCCATCTGTCTATAGTGGCCATGCATTTTTTCCTCCTTCCAGAAATAAACGTGTCTTGTTCTCATTTCTTTCTCGAGGGAGGTACAATGCTTGGCCACTATAGACAGGTGGCCTTTATAGAGAAATGGCCACTAGGACAAGTTTAACTGTACATGTATGATGCTCAACTGTGACCTACTGAACGAATCAACAGAATATAGACAGTATAATATGAAAAACAAATAGTTATAGTTCAACTTAAACACACACAAAATAAAAATGTATTTGTTGCCGTAAAACATATTTAATCACAAAGTAGAATATCCTACGAGAATAAACCAACTATCCAATTGGCAATCAAAATGCTATATCCTAGATCCAAAAAATAAATTATAGAATACTTTAAATTATATAAAGGAATGACAAGAGACTCATAAAAACATATTCAAAATATATCTCTTCTGTAAAAAAAAAAAGAATTAAAAAAAGGAAAATCGACGAAGCCAAGTGAAGACGTTAAAAACGGGACATTTCATGCTGTACCCTATCATTTAAAGTCAAACTCTTTGATTTTTTAGATACTCTAATTCTGTTTCAAACATTGAGATCGGACAGAAAATTGTATTAAAACGTTACATGAATTATTCACCGATACCTTGAACAAATGCATTATATTCTATTACCATTCAGTGTTTTTTTTCTAAGTAAGACCTATTATATTTGGAATACAAAGGCATATTCCCCTAAAGTTTTATATCGTCGTTTGTTATATTATTACGAGGTCCTTCATATAGATGTAGCATATTGTTATTATTATCATAATCATTATTATGCCTTCTTTCTAAGCTGCATCTGCCTGTGTTGCGCAATGGCACATGTTTTTTTTTCCTGTAAAGTTCGCCAACTCCCTTCCTTTATCTCCTCCAAATTATTTTACTTTGTCATCTTTCTTTCCCTTTTTTCTCATTTATTATGTTTCCCTCTTCTCTGTCAATTTCTCTCTATTTAGTTTTCAGGCTGCAATAACATTTGTCCTTCCTTGTATTCTACTAAAGGATGACAAATTTAGATGATTTAACAGAAAAGCCAGTGTATTTTTCTACAAAGCGACAAACAAGTCACAACTAGACAGTTCAATTTGTTTGTGTGAATACTTTTTACTCTAAACAAAAACAAATATTTGAAAAATGGTCTTAAGCTCGGCCAGTTTTGATCTAGTTACGAGGCCATTGCTTTGCCACTGAACCATGACTGTACGCAGCGGGGGCTAGGGTAGGGGGCAGTTCCCACAAATAATAAAAAAAGAAAAGAAAATGCAATCAATTTTCAATAATTCATTGAATTTTACCCCGGTCCCCAACATAAAAAAATCCTCTGTACGACCATGCATTATGGTTCAAGGCATGGGCACACAGTCATGGTTCAGAGGCAAAGCAATTGCCTCGCAACTGTGAGGCCCCGGGATAAAAAAAAACGTGTCGATGTGCTATATTAGTGCCCTTTTGTGGGGCATTAATCCTCATTACTGTCATTTATGACTTAAGGGCGTAGGTCCCCTAGTTGATAAGCATAGTAGCATACACATGCTTTAGCAGTCACGCAAAACAAACACTGGCAAATTATTATTCAATAAAGTCTGAGAATGTATACTATTATCTAGATCTATTAGGAATTGTTAGCTCGATGGTAGATTGTTTCCTTATGCCGTACTCCTTCAGAGTCCATGAGTCTTGCAGCTGCTTGCACCCAAAAACCAGACGCTGTATATTGGGTGGGATGCCTATCTTCTTGTAGACTTGTCGCTTGAGGTTGTTTGTCGTGTCTGACAAATGAACGTGGAAGGATTGTGACTTGCCTTGGAGGTCACGCACCCAGATCTGCACTGTTTCCGTTGCCTCAATGGTTTCCTGTTGCTCTCTCGGTGTGGCAGAGGCTTGTTCAGCCAACAAAACTTCCATTTTCTTCATGATAGCTGCTTGCTCATCGAGGATGCAGTTGAGCTTGTAGTTCTGCTCAAGACCGTTTAAGCCCGTGGAGGGGATACTGGTCATTTTCTGGCAGAGACAGCATTTGATGTTAGACGTCCAACCTAGCATACGCAAAATGATAAATACAACAATAACCACAAGTGTACAAGTCATTTTTATTTTTGAATGGAGGAGTATTTACATTGTAAGAAGACATAACTGAGAAAGGCTTTAAAGGGATAGTTGAGTTTTAGTATAGAGGGCGCTACACACATTTTTCTGGTGAGATAATGAAAAACTGAGTGTCTAATTTGAAAGAATATACAATCCGATTGACAAAATCATCTTTGTTTGATCAAAATCGGTTCATAGAAGGCTGAAATATCCATAAATATCACAATTTCTAATATTTGTGGGGCCCCATAAATATTCAATAATTTTGGACCAGCCGTTGAAAAGATGAGATGGCGCCTTTCACGTTTTATTCCAGCCAATGCCAATGTTGGCTTTTTGTTGGCTTTTTCGTGTTGGTTATAATTCGCACAACCAGCTCGCCCGTGTATTGTTATTACTATAAAATTATTAAACTAACGTTCACTGTATTTTTTTAAAAATGGAGCTGAATTGGTATGATCGGATTTAATCTAAATTCACACATTTTGGGGTGTAGAATTACCTTCATAGCAATTTTAGGTCCTAAAAGGGCACTAGAAATGTCATAAATAAGAATAAGAGCAATAAACATGCACTTTGAAGTAATTTGCAGTCTTAAACAAGAATATAACTGCCCCCCCTGCATTTCAATAGGATATATCTATCCTACGTTGATCTAGAGCGGCAGTCATTAGGACAACAGTCATAAATGTGACAACAGAAGATACAAATATGAAATCATAATAAACCTATAGTAATAAACATACAGTAATATAAAAGGATGATGTAATTTTGAGTGGGGTAGGGTAGACCGAAATTTCTGTCTCTTTCGTTCGTTAGCTTCTGATTTGGGTAGGGTCGGCTCCTCTCTAAAAATCAGAGGCTAACGAACGAAAGAGACAGACTTTTCGGTCTAGGGGTAGGGGCAGGGGCGTCGCTAGACCTTTTTCAGTGGGGGGGGGGATGTAGAGGCCAACGATTACCGACAAAACTAGCGACCAATTACCGACAAAATTAAATGTCCAATATCTACAAATTTAACCCTATAAACCCGGGGCCGAAGGCTAAAGTGTTTTTTCCTATGGACTATCTATAGTACTTGCATATGCGCAAATGGTCATTTTCCTCGACGACATAAATATACGAATTATTTCGTCAATTTAGTCAGCATCATAGCTGATATGTTTTAATGCAGGCGCGGAGCTAGGATATTATTTTAGGGCGGTAGTGAGCAAGCGAATCACTTAAAGAGCGCTCATTAGGGGGTGTGGGTGATAGGCCTCTAAATTATTAGGAAAAAAAGACGACTTATTGTACCGTTTTCTACTGTTAATCCTTGTCTGAATTCAGTTTCTCCCCCTCCCGTGCGAAGCGCGGAAGTTTTGGCGTTTCATTAAAATTTTAGAGAAAGTAGACGATTCGTTGAATCTTGCTCGACTCTTAATCCTTGTCTGAATGAAGCTTTCCCCTCCGCGCGAAAGCGCGGAAATTTTGACGTTTCATTAAATTATTGGAGAAAGAAGACGATTCGTTGTACCGTTCTCGACTCGTCTAAATGAATATTTCTCCCTTCGCGCGAAGCGCGGAATTTTTGGCGTTTCATCACAATAAAGAGAAAGGAAGACGATTCGTCGTACCGTTTTCGACTCTTATTACTCCCTATTCATCTGAATTCAGTTTCCCCCTCTCGCGCGAAGCGCGGAAGCTTTGACGTTTCATTAAATTATTAGAGAAAGTAGACGATTCGTTGAACCGTGCTCGACTCTTAATCCTTGTCTAAATAAAGCGGAAGTTTTGACGTTTCATTAAATTATTAGAGAAAGAAGACGATTCGTTGTACCGTTTTCGACTCTTAATAATCCCTAATTGTCTGAATTCAGTTTCCCCCTTTAGCGCGAAGCGCTGAAGCTTTGACGTTTCCTTAAAATATTAGAGAAAGAAGACGATTCGTTGTACCGTGCTCGACTCGTCTAAATGAGGTTTTCCCTCCCTCCCGCGCGAAGCGCGAAAGCTTTGACGTTTCATTAAATTATTATGAAAAGAAGATGATTTGCTGTACCGTTTTCGACTGTTAATCCTTGTCTGAATTCAGTTTCTCCTCCTCTCGCGCAAAGCGCGGAAGTTTTTACGTTTCATTAAATTATTAGAGAAAGAAGACGATTTGTTGTACCGTTTTCGACTCTTAATAAGCCCTAATTGTCTGAATTCAGTTCCCCCCCCCTCTCACGCGAAGCGCGGAAGCTTTGACGTTTCATTAAATTATTAGAGAAAGAAGACGATTCGTTTGTACCGTTTTCGACTCTTAATAAGCCCTATTTGGTGTACTGTTTTCGACTCTTAATCCTTATCTGAATTCAGTTGTCAGGGTTTGGCGTTTCATTAAATTATTAGAGAAAGTAGACGATTCGTTGAACCGTGCTCGACTCTTAATCCTTGTCTGAATAAAGCTTCCCCCTCCCGCGCGAAGCGCGGAAATTTTGACGTTTCATAAAATTATTAGAGAAAGAAGATGATTCGTTGTACCGTTTTCGACTCTTAATAAGCCCTAATTGTCTGAATTCAGTTTTCCTCTTCCGCGCGAAGCGCGGATTTTGTTGTTGGGCATTTCATCACAATATAGAGAAAGGAAGACGATTCGTCGTACCGTTGTTGACTCTTAAACCTTTTTTGAATTTAGTTTCCCCGAAAATTTTAAACCTCTGATTTCTTTAGCTGATATTATAGGAAAGTGAAACTTCGAGAAAATACAAGTATTGTAGTTGTATAGTCACTCTTGAAGTCGTCACAGCGGATAAAAAGTCACAGTTCGTAGTGAAATAAACTTGTCGGCCGACCGACAATATTCATCTCACCGACTTCAAACTTCTGCATTGATATAGTACACGAGGATCGAGCAAGAATACCGACACAGCTGACCCGACATAGCAACATATTTACCCGTGTCTTTTTTGCTCCCTCGACGAGACGACTCCACCCAACAACCCCCTTCTCTCTTTTACTCCAACTCCTCCTCTCCCATGCAGGCTCTCCTCTCTCTTCTCTCTTTCAACCCCGTTTCTTTTGTTTCCCTTTTACTTTTTTTCTCTTTTTTTTCTTCTCCCTTTTCTTTCTTTTCCTTTCTTTCCTCTCGTCCCTCTTTTTCTTTTTTCTCTTTTTTTCTTCTCTTTTCTTTCCTTTCTTTTCCTTTCTTTTCCTTTCTTTCCTTTCCTTTCTTTCATTTCTTTTCCTTTTCTTTTCCTTTTCTTTTTTCTTTTCTTTCCCTTTCCCTCTCTTTTTTCCCTCCCCCTTTTCTCTTTTTTCCCGACGGCAGCGCAATTTTACCGACAAAATCTGACAGGTGGAGGGGTGTCGCACCCCCACACCCCCCCCTTTGGCGACGCCCCTGGGTAGGGGTGCCACAGACCCCAACCCCTATAGCAATGCCCCTCACAATGTAAATAATAACATCATTAGTATTGTTGTTGTTTATGTATTCTTCTCCTAATCACTTTCATTATAACTATTGTTATTTTTTATATTTTTAGTAGTAGTAGTAGTAGTAGTAGTAGTAGTAATAGTAGTAGTAGTACTATGAGTATTGTTATTATCATGATCATTACCTCCATCCTTATCATTACCTCCATCATTATCTTTATCATTATTTACATTATAATCATCATAACTATCATTTTAATGGCTCACGTACGTACCCTTTATGGCTACCAGCTCTTGAAGACATTCCAGGCAGTAGGTATGGCCACATGCTAGATCCCTAGCCTCTTTCAGTTTACTGTTACAGATCGGACAATTCAGGTTCTTGACGAGAACAGCATACATGGATTTTAGATCCCCATACCTCTCCATTGTCGTTGTGGCGATGATATTAAAATGTATTGCTACATTGCTGGAGTCTTTAGTCTTCCAGAATTCGACCTTCTCTGCCTGATCGACACACCACATAGGACGGCTTCTTAAAGTCAGAGTTCGATCGTAATGGGTTTTCCCCACGAATTTTGTGACATTGTTCTCTTTGTAACAGAGAATGTGATTGGTCGATTCTGTGGTCCATTTTCAAACAGTGCTCCTTATTGGTCAATTGTGGCATCATTGTCTGCGTAAAATGGCTTCTGCTAACAGCTTCTGCTTGCATGTCAAAATCTACAGTTGACATACAGAGCTCATAGTTTTGCATTCTTCAACTATGTAGGTCTATAATAAAAACAAATTCAGCAACGTCCAAAGTGGACAATGGGGTTGGTCTTCTTCAAAATGTGTTCACATTTTAATCCAACATTTGATACAAGGACAGAAGAGTGATCAAGAGGTATATTGGATGGGAAACGTGAGGTAGGCCCCTCGACTTCCAATGCAGGCGATGAGTCATAATCATTGTTTGGTATTTCACTTCTTTTGTTAGGCCTACTGTTCAAAGTCCAATTCGCGCAAAACTGATAAACATAATGTACAGAACAGGTCTCCTCATGTCACTATGTTGTATGATGTTTTAAAATTTGTTTACGTTTATAAAGGTCTACGTTTGAATTCAGTTAGACAGGAAATAATACGTGTGTTCCTGGGGGGGGGGGGGGGGAGGGAGAGTTTTTCATTGTTTTAGTTCTTATATGAAGAGCTATGGTATTCAGCTTCTATGTGCGTTACTTGGGTTTATTGTGCATTGTAATTTTGTTTATCTTAGTTAATGCTAGCCCAGTCATACCCACACCAATAAAACCGACATCCATGTTTGATATTTTGTGTGATAAAGTGCTGAGATATTGTGACCGCACTGTTTTTCACCTCGACATTTTTTGTTGCACCTCTAACATGTTTTCCTCTGACATTTTTTCCTCAGACATTTTTTACACCGAGCCGTACGCGCCTTATTTTTTTCGTACCACGGCGAGGCCAGATTGAGCTCGCGAGGTAAACCTGCGCATGCGCACTCGCAAAGGAAACCAACGCATGCGCACGTGGAATCCGGTAGGGTTGTTAATAGGGTGATAGTAATTATACAAATCAATCTGTCATAAACTCATCGTCAGCTCAATCGGTAAGGACAGCGTGTTACTAATATAACTTTGAAGTTGACGTGAGAGTTCAAATTTCAGTTTATTTAGTTTTTTTGCCTTTATAAAAAGTGAGGCAAAGCAATAAATAATCAAAGTCGAATTGTTGATGACCTCTTTGCAAGATTTCGTAGCTTGTTATGTATGAAAATGGGTTCATACTGAAATCTGGCCTCGCCGTGGTACGAAAAAATAAGACGCGAGCCGTACCTGCACGCGCACGTATAACGGTACGTGTGACTACAACTCTCTTGCACGTACCCCTTTAAATGGGACTACACTGACGCTTCCGCGAACGTTTCGCCATGATTTGGTTGATGACATTGCCTTCGATTTTTTTTCCAGAGACAGGAACCGTGGGATAAAAAATTAGGCTATGAACAAATATTTCGAGGAAAGCTTTGATATATTTTGATTTATCATTTACGAAAGTATTGATCTGGCGTAATGACGGAAAATGTCAGAAATACTGCAATATTTTCAGACAAAAAAAGGTTGTCGCTTCCTTTTGTTCAGTTATCGCATATTAAAACAGGGTTTAACCACTAACTGCAGTAATTATGAGTTAGAACAACTCTACTTCGTCCACACACAATACATTCCGTGATTTTGTATCAAGTTCTAGCTCGGAACGATGCTCCAACCCTAGATTCGTTATACGACGTTTCTTTATACGACATAGTTAGAGAACACACACACAATTTCATCGTAAGGCTATCCAAAAATGGTATAGCTATACTGTTTCGGGATAGCTATACCAAGGAATTTAAAGAGCTGGCTTCTCAACTGGCAACGAATTATTCCAAGTAGCTGCCGTTTTCGAAGGTTGAACAGCAGGCGCGCCGGAAGCAGTTTGGGATTGGGGGGGGGGGGGGGGGGGCAAACATTCCAGGGGGCTCACCTTCCAGGGGCAGTGACGCCATGAGAAAAAACGTTCTGAAGGGGGGGGGGGGCAGACGAAAAATCTGCATCACCACCATGCAGTATGACACGTTACATGCAGGTCCCGCGGAACGTTTTTCAAAGTGGAGTATTAACGATCAGGTAGAGCGGGATCCAGGGCATGAGCCTCGGCAGGGGGTCAAGGGGCTGAGCCCCCGGAAGCTCAGGGGTTTTAGGTATTTAATTACGGTTAGATGAGCATCCAGGGGCCCTCTTTAAGGCTATTGACGTGTTCCGGGGGGGGGGAGAGCCCCCGGAAGCTCAGGGGTTTAAGGTATTTAATAACGGTCAAATGAGCATCCAGGGGCCCGCCTTAGAGCCCTTGGTGGGGTCCAGGGGGCAGAGCACCCGGAAGCTCAGGGGTTTTAGGTATTTAATTACGGTCAGATGAGCATCAAGGGGCCCGCCTTAGGGCCCTTGGTGGGGTCCAGGGGGCAGAGCACCCGGAAGCTCAGGGGTTTTAGGTATTTAATTATGGTCAGATGAGCATCCAGGGAACCGCCTTAGGGCCCTTGGTGGGTTTCGGGGGCAGAGCCCCCGTAAGCTCTGGGGTTTTAGGCATTTTTTATACCTTATTTGTGACATTGGGAGGTCACTTATTTTTCTCTCCGTCTTTCTTTCTTTTTATCTTTAACATACTTTTTTCAAAAGGTGAGGGGGGGGGGGGGGGCTCAGGCTCGAGCCCAGCCACTTTGCAGACCATGACATAAAGGCTTATTAACAAGCGTATTTTTCGCCCGACTGTAATTTGGGAATTTCTTATTTTCCAACAAGCGCATAAAAAGGTATGACTTTTAAAAAAATGGAGAAAAAATACCGGAAAATGTCATAACAGCAACACTTGTAAATCACTGGTATCGAATAAGAAATACATCCCCCCCATCAGTACGCCAGCGTTCAGGGGCTCATGTCTTCTCACCCCTATAACAAAAAAAACAGACACGCTTTTCCATTCTCGCACAATATGTCCACGATATGCGCGTATCGCTATTATAAAGACCTCCATTGATAAATACCGTATAGGTGGCATATGTGCAATGTTTATGAAATTTAATTCTTGTGAACTTTCCTTTTCTTTGAATGGAATTGTATATGTGATTTTTTTCAGGTTTTTATTTTTGTTATGTTCTTTTGGGTTAAAAATACAAACCATGTTTACCCCTTTACTGCTTTTTTTTTTTTGGAGGGGGGGGGGGCGTTTTGGGGGGGCAAAAATGCGTTTTGCCCCCCCCCCCACTTTTTTGACTGGGGGGGCAACTGCCCCCCTGCCCCCCCACTTCCGGCGCCTATGTTGAACAGAATCTACAGGTGTGCTGCTACCTTTAATATTTGAGGTTCGAAGCCGCCAATATAATTGGAAAGCTTGAATAGTGTTTTTTTCCCCAAAGAAATATCGTTAATATTTCACTTTTTATTTGAACTAAAACGTTAGTATAACACCCTTATTGTTTTCTTGCGATATGTTTTGTTCTATTGTATTTTTTTGGTTAAAGTTTGTTTTTATCTTAAAACCTTTTTCTTCACTATCTCCTATAACATGTTTTAATTTAAATCAATAATCTAAAATGTGATTGATCACAAGGACTGTCAAGAAATTTACTCAATGAAATGAACTCCAGGAAATGCCATATTTATTGTCCATAAAAGTAATTGTCGAGTCACGTAATATGTCAGTGTAATAATTGCACATTTCAATAGGATATTTAAGAGCCTTTTGAAATTGACTACGGTTGACTCTCTAAAGTATTTTCGATCTTTTGGACTGTTTTCCTTTACTGTTGATTCCTAGCCCTTCTCTGTATAGTCTCAATCAAGGGAACCTCAAAGGCTTGTTCAGATATGGCGTGGTAGTAAAACACAGCAAAAGAGATTTATAAATGTTAACCGTATATTACAACTTGCGTAATTCTAAAGAAAAAGTACCGCCGGGGATTTTTAGCGTCATATCTGAACGAGCCTTGTATGCTGAAATCACTTTGACGTTTCTAATAATTTGCCTTTCCTTATTTCATTTTCATATGATTAGATACATGATATTGGAATTTTGGTTAAACCAGTAGAACATTATTTTGTTGGTAATTGTAACTAAGCTCTTTTTATTTATCTATATTGTTTTAGTAGTCATGATTTTAATGCAATCTATTCAATAATACGTGAACATATCTATGTACAATAAAGTTTTTTAAATTCTGAAGAGCAAACGAATGTACTTCAAGCACAAGAGTGGAATAGAATGAATGGGAAAGAAAGATGACAGAGTAAAAGAATTCGGAGGAAAGAAAGAAAGAGAGTAGTCGAACTTCACAGATATATACGTAAACGCAAAATGAACTAAATGATTTTCGCCCTGTAGCTTTGACATCTAATATTATGAAGTGTTTTGAGAGATTGATGTTGAAATATTTGTTGAAACAAACTAAAGAATTTATGGATCCTTTTGAATTTGCGTACAGACCGAACAGGAGTGTGGAGGATGCCGTTCTTGTGTATTTGCATAAAATAGCATTTGGATAAACCAAAGTCCTATATGCTCGGTCGCTTTTCTTGGACTTTAGTAGTGCTTTTAATACTATTGCACCTGACTGTCTGGCTCGTAAGCTGATAAGAATGAATGTAGACCTTAGATTGATTAGATGCATTCACAACTTCTTGATAGGTCGAACACAGTGCGTAAAGTCGGGGTGGTCATCAGTCATCTACGGTGACTACATACATAGGTGCCCCTCAGGGGTGTGTCTTATCCCCGGTTTTGTTTTCACTATATACAAGTGATTGTGTAAGCTCAACTTCTTGCTGTAGCATACTCAAATATGCTGATGACACCGTAATTGTTGCTCTTTTGTCTGATCAGGCGAATGATTATTTCTCACAGGTAGACGAATTCATTCGCTGGTGTGATGATCATTACTTAACATTAAACACAACCAAAACCAAAGAAATGGTAATCGACTTCCGTCGAAAGGGTACAGACCACGAGAGT